GAGCTGTCCTGTCCAGCCCCAGTGCAGTGTGTGACAGTAGACAGAGACAGAGCTGTCCTGTCCAGCCCCAGTGCAGTGTGTGACAGTAGACAGAGACGGAGCTGTCCTGTCCAGCCCCAGTGCAGTGTGTGACAGTAGACAGAGACAGAGCTGTCTTGTCCAGCCCCAGTGTAATTGGTACCTGTCGGGGATGTGCTGCTTGGCAGGGTTGCTTGTAGATTTCTCTCAATGGAAAAAGAATCTCAGTTCCTCCCATATCAGCCTGCATTACCATCACTTTTTTCAGCGCTGACTCCATGGAGTCCTGAGTATACTCCACACTCTCCCTAAGAGAGAGGAAGAATGTGATCTGTAGATCACATTATACATACTGTATATAAACATATTCATGAAAATTTTGACAACATTTGAAAATTGGCAATGTTGCAGAGGTATAACTGTGCACGAATTTGCAAAGAATTATAGGTATACTCACCTTCCATCCTTCAGGACATTGGTTGCTCTGCAACTACCTACAAATATTATTGATAGGAAATTCTCGTTCTCTTATTTACTAATAAGGGGTGGAGTGGTGGCTCTGTGCCTGTGGCTGGAAGGTTGCCGGTTCAAGTCCCGCGGCCGGCAGAGGAATCCTACTCTGTTGGCCCCCAGAGCAAGGCCCTTAACTGGTCCAGGGGTGCTGTATAAATGACTGACCCTACACTCTGACCCCAAGCTTCTCTCTCCCTGTCTGTGTCTCTCATGGAGAGCAAGCTGGGGTATGTGAAAAGACAAATTCCTAATAAAAGAAATTGTATATGGCCAATAAATGTCACGCCCAGTACACCTAGAGGGCGCTCTACTTCTGTCCTGTTCCTAGTTCCATGTGATTATTCATGTCTTTCTGGTGTGTCTTGATGTGTAGCCTATTTACTTCCTGCTTCTGCTCTGCTGCTCGCTCAGCATTGAAGTTCAGATGTCCTGAGACCCGCCTAGCACCAGGTCACTCCTGTCCTTGGCCTGAGGGTATAGGTTTCTATACGGCATTTCCTGAACAGCTGAGCCCGGGCTAACCCCCGTCTCGCCGCTACGCATAGGGTCTTTTACCTCTCCTGCCATTCCACGGTTCGTCCTTTCCGACATCCATGACAATAAAGTGATTTGATCTTATCTTACTGGAAACAATACTCAACCAGAGACAGTGCTCTAAGTCTGCTTAACATTATAGCAGCTGGAAAAAAATTAAACTCCTTTGCAGCTAAACCAAGTCAGTAATTAAAATCCTGATGAATTCAGTAGGAATTAAACCCAAACACCTTGTCTCCCGCTAGGAGCAGGAGTGAATGAAACTAGTCTGGTGTCAGAATGCCTGGGTAAAGTGTGTGACTTTATTTAGTGACAAGCAATGTTACTCTACGTGGAATAGATATATGCGACCTAATAATGAAATTAGATTTGAGCTTTGAGGCGGGAACATGACTACAGACTTGTCCAGACTCATGGTTGTGTTTCCTTACTCACGGGAAGAAGGACTCGTACTGAGATCCAAAGCTGTAGATATTAAAGTGGCAGCCCAGAGGGAGGCTCTTTAACAGGAGCACCAGTGTATCCTACAGAGAAACAAACAGAGGGAGGTTAATACACAGTCAGCACACAGCACTGCAGACACTGAAAGGGTAAGCTAGAGAAACACATTTGTGTCACTGTGTGTTTCTGTCTGTGCCTGTATGTCATTATGCATATAAGTCAGTGTATTTTTCAGAGCGTCAGAGTCTACCAGTCTCAGTGCCTATACCCTGGCACTCTCTATGCGCTGCTGTGCTCCAGATTCCCTGTCCATGGGATTCTGCATGCTGCCTGAGCAGTCCATCAGGAAAATAAATTCTCCGTTGGAGGACAGAGTTGTCTCTGCAATATGGAATTCTGGGAACAGGCTGAGCATCAACATAGGATCTGCCATCAATGTACCTAACAGAAAAATACAGAGAAGTTTCATTCAGATTTGCATACAAAAGCACTACAGTCACTGGTCAGTTTTTTTTAGCAAGTTATGTTTTCACTTTTGTCATTTATTACTCTGCAACCCCTTAATATAAGCAATGTAGTTAGCTGCATCTCTCTGTTCATTCTACTCTAATTGATACATAATACTTGGTAATAAAGGTTTATCACTCGGATTCATTTCTCATTTTATGTTTGATGTTATGTTATAAGATGTAGAAATTAAGGAAATGACATAATTTCCTATTGCTTGTTCTTAAATTTGTCCTGATGTAGCCTGAATGAAGAGGCTGAAGGCTATGAAGTTGGCTTCACACAAAGACTTGTGCTGGTTTATGCCATAAAAAAACAGCATTATGGAGGGCTGAGTGATCTTCTATTTTATGATTACCAAAACTGACCACAGAATTCAGATGAGATCTTATTAGTATGGCTGCAAATAAGACAGGTGGAAGAAACATGGCTAGTCCCGGCTATGGTATTTTAATGAAACCCAGCCAGAAGCCTGAGTGACTCTGAAAATCCCCAGTGGAATTACTCACAGGAATACGCTTGGTCTGCGAGGAGACCCAGGGCTGGGAGCTCCAGCTCGCCCATACAACTTTAGGAGCGTCAACTTTACTTCAAGACACCAGGCCCGGGGACAGTGTGTCTGTTTGTAACCAGCATTCTTCCCAAGACGTCTGTGACGATAAGACGCTCACTCATTGACTTTGTTGTTCTTTAGAATAATCAACTTTCATATTTTGATTTGGGTCCCTCTATATGAGCTGCTGTGTGTGAGGCTCAGTTTATTCTTTTTTTAAAGTTATGTAGCCATTCCTATGGATCCATAGTCCTGCCAAAAGATAAAAGTTTGAATTCACTTTTCTGAATTCACTAGCAAAGGTTAAACCATTGCTTATTTTTTGACAATTTTTGGCCCATTTTCTCAGGATATTGGCCTTCACTTTTCGGATTGAAGGTTAAAGGGGAACTTCAGTCCCAATTTCTCAGACCGCTTTTTAAATCTTGGTAAAAACAAATAATTGGTGTTATTTCAAAATTTGACAAATTATGAATCATGCTCAAATTCGTGAACTTTGTGAAAGTACTGTAAAGTCACAATGTTGTCACAAAACATTGGTCTCGCCAGGAGCGAGAGTGAGACCGAGAGTTTGTGAGATTGCTCACTGTAATGACTAATTTAACGAGTGAATAAGTACAGGTTGTGCAGCAGACATTTTACCACAGTAAGTAGTATTTATAGGCAATATTTCTACAGGATCAAAAAAAAATATATTAACAAGCCTGCTTGTTTACAGTGTAATAGAGCTGCTTCACCTCACAGGAAGTTTTGTTGCCTCATTCCGAATCTCAGAATATATAGCTGTGCATGCCTGGAAATTGTGTATTTTGTGATGTAAATTCCCTGAGGAGCTCTTTTTAGCACCAAGCTAAGCAACACACTTCTGCTATCTGGAATGCCAAAGGACATCTATAGCAAAGACCCAGACAAGAGATTGGATATTTCTGATGTCCAGATAACTCCATCTTCAGCAAGAAAACAATTCTATGAGAAGCTCTTGGCCAGCATGTCTTCAAGCTTCAATCTTCAAATTATAATCTATTAATAATAATAATAATAATAATAATAATAATAATAATAATAATAATAATCTCACTCTATACAAGTTTAATAAAGTTACATTCATGCTATAAAATTAATATTGACTTGTCTTTAAGAATATGAATGTTATTAATTACATGAGAGTGATTAAACTCATGAGGTAGACTATAACAAATGTAACAATCACTCTACCGAATGTTAAATCTTGGATTTATTCATTCCTATTTTTGTAATCCCAGCGTGGACAATCAGCCATTTGTATCAAAGCAGATGGTTTCAGATATACAGATAGCCACTATGTTATGTAGTATGTGTCTTTCATTCAGTATATCCATTTTTTTAACAGTGTAATCGTTTAACATTGTGTATGCTTTGTATATGACTATATTAAACATCTTATGAAAAAGGTGAGTGCACATGATCTTGTACTGAATACCATTATGACAGGAAAGGAATAAAAAGTAGAACACGCAAAAGGATCTGCCACCAACAAAATCAATTATTAGAACTAAGAGAGGAAACGTTACTGAGGAAATGGAAAACCTTCACATTCGAAGATAGAAGATCAAACACAAAGACACATGCCTCTAAGCATTCATTCTCATCAATTAAGGTATGTGCTATAAAATATTCCTGTTTTTCCAGGATTGGACTGAATCAGTTCCTTTTCAAAGTTTTCTTTTAATAAATAACGTACAATAATATAGTAGAAACTGTACATGTACTGTAATTTTCCATACAAATGCATTAGACTTTCTGTAATGCTTAACTTTGTTGTGTTAGGTGCATGTCACACACAGTGTTTCAGCAGGGTTGTTCTTAAAACAGTGACCACCTCACTTTGTATTAATTTTTCTTTACTCCAACTGAGTCTTCAGTACAATTAATGGACTGCAGCTAGAACTCTGAAAAGCACCCTTATCATTATTACCTCAACAGTAATGGGTCCTGTGGAGAAACAAATCACACATTATACAGCAGGTTCTACCTATATTGCTACAGAGAGTTTCAAACCCCCTATAAAATAAAATAAATGAAATATGTTTGTGTTTATTCTTTATGTGAAATTTTTTTAATCTTATAATAATAATTGCTTACACTTATATAGAGCTTTTCTGTACACTCCACTCAAAGTGCTTAACAAGTAATGGGGACTCCCATCCACCACCAGTGTGCAGCCCCACCTGGATGATGCACCAGCACACTCCCCCCAGACCAGCTCTCAGTGGGGAGGTCTGTTCATATATGGGGATGATTAGGAGGCCATGATTGGTAAAGGCCAATGAGATAGCGGGGTAACACCCCTACTCTTTTCAAGAAATGCCCTGGGATTTTTAATGACCACAGAGAGTCAAGACCTCAGTTTTACGTCTTATCTGAAAGATGGTGCCTTTTTACAGTACAGTGTCCCCATTACTATACTGGGGCATTAGCACCCACACAGACCACAGGGTGAGCACCCCCTGCTGGCCCCACTAACACCTCTTTTAGCAGCAGCCTAAGTTTTTCCCAGGAGGTCTCCCATCCAGGTACTGACCAGACACGCACCTGCTGAGCTCTAGTGGGCTGCCAGCTGGGAGCTGCAGGGTGATATGGCTGTTGGCAGATATATGATACTGTAATTTTATGTATAGCATACACACAGAATCATTTCTCTAATGCATCTACTGTACATGTTAGGCTCAATATTCATAAAAACCCAATAAGTATAGTGCGAAAATATCAAAATGTAACATGTAGAAATTGGGTTACATAGCAGGTTCAGGAACATAACTTGGACTGTATACTGCTCCTCTTGTTGATTTCCTATACTTGTTTTGTATTAATAAACTGTTTATTGTGAATCTGTTTTTTAATCTACAGTATCTGAGTGATTCCTAATAGCCATAAAGCACTTGCAATTTTCTGAAAATGGAACCACCACATCACTGCACTCTTCACCCGAGAAGGTAGTTTCCACCCATACCCTCGGCTCGTGTTTCACTCTTTATTCTGAAGAAGTGTGATGGGCTACCTAAGTCAATGCCTTTGAGGGTTCTGGGTGCTTGTATCAGGTCCCCTCATAACCTTCTTTACCAAAGATGTAAAAGGCTCAGTTCCTTCAGCCTATGTGTAGCATATTCCCTTAAGGCCCAGAATGTATTGGGCTCTGGTAAATTACTTCTGAGGTCACATCTTTCATGACTTTTGTAAGTTGCCATCGGGCTCTGGGGATTTATTCATCTCGAGTACTGCTCACTGAGGCATGTTGTTGTCTCCATCCTAGTGCACACTTGAATGACATTAATTTAATAGGTAAGCCATTACCTTTTTATTAGGTAAAGTTTTTCAATTCCTTTTCTGTTGTAAATAACGAATTATAGCCTCCACTCTAATATTCATTTCAATTTCTCTCTTCAGTCAATATCCTTTATTCTGTGCTTGTAATGCTTCCTCTGTTAACACCTGAGTCAAATACTTATTTAATACATCAGCCACCACTTTTGTCCCTGCTATATTTTACTTCATCCTTGATGGTTACTTTGCTGTTGGAGTACTAAAAGACATTTTTAGTATTTATTTTAGCTGCCATTGCAATAGTCCTTTCAATTTTCCTCTTGCCATTTGAATATCCTTTTTAAAATGAATTTACAATTCATTGTACTCCCTTTATTTAACTGGACCTTGTTGTACTTTAATAATTTTATAAAGCACTCTCCTCTGTTATTTTTCAGTTTCTATTGGTGAAACATTTGGGATACTGTTTTCTAACTTTTGATTTACATGGGTCCTGCCATCCCTTCAATACTGACATATCTATCCTACCCAATTTTACTTATTTTAAAATTTATTTGGTGAGGACTCAATTTGTGCTGTTTCTATATATGCTTCAGAACACACCATATTATGATTACAACTCCTTTATGGCTTTTCTCACATCAGCTTGCCCCACCAAGATCATTACAAGAGTTTCTTGGTGCTCCAACACACTGGATAAGAGAGCTGTCATTAACCAGGTCTTTCCCAGTCTACACGGGGAAAGCTGAACTCTTGAAAGTGCTTGAAAATTACTTTGTTTGCAAAGAAATTCCTAGTTTCATTAAACAGTATTGAATTATAATCAACACCAGCATTTGGTGGCCCAGAGCATACTCCTAACACTACTTTTTTGAATGTTTATTGAGTATTCTGACCCATAAATTCAGAGACGCTTGATTCCTCTAGCTGAACATGAATACTCTTTTTTGATATACTGTATAACACTGCGCTGCCAACTGTTCTACCTTTTCTGTGTCCACAGAACAGATTCTATCAGTAATGTCATATTCCTCACCTTCACTTTTGATTAGCCAGGTTTCTGTGTTTCCATTAGCATCATAGTTGCTTTCTAAAGTTGTTTATTCTTTCTTATTATCTGGTTTCTGATATTCCTAACACTTTTATGTTTTTCCTCTTTGTTTCTTCCTTGGCCTTTGTTCTCCATGTAAATTAATTTGCAGTTATCTTTGCTTGCTCTCCATACAATTCTACCTTCTGGATTTCCTTGCAGATCCTTGTGCCGAGAGGATTGGTGCCTGGTTTGTCCAGATGGGATCTGTCTTGTCGGTAGAGATGTCCTTGCTAACACATTGCAGATTCATGTGAAAACAGAGAGAGGCCCAACCACACTTATGATACCCAAGAGTCTTAAAAGCATTAAGTGTTACTGCCTGCTATTCCAATCAGGGGACATCCTTACCAGGAGGAGCAAATGGTAACCCAGCCTCGAGGATGGCAGTAGGCTGGTGGGCATGACAATAGTAGACCAACAGCTCCACATCCCGATCAAACTTATGACCTGGAGACAGACTGAGCTGCAGAGATAGTAAAAAAGATAGTATTAAACAGAGCAAACCAAACCCATATTCATATACCAAGTCTGGCTGACAGAGCAGTGCATACCTTGGCCTGGGTCTTGTCCTGGGTAAGGTATTCCAGTGGGCTGATTGGGCAGCTGCACTGCACCCTGTCAATGGCACTGGGGGAGGTGATATGGGCACTGAGAGACAGGCTGTAAGGCACAGATCCCCCAGAAGCACAGGGCAAATCTGCTGTTATACTGGCACTGCCTAACAGAGGAACATAGCAGGATAAAGACAGAGGGTCAGAGCAATAACCTGGCACAGACATCTCAAGAGGCAGCATATTGGAATATAAAAAGCCAGACAAATATTAAAGTACAATTCTATAGAACTGGTATTGAACTGTCCACTGCCTGCTGGTTTTCATTCAATTCTCAGTTATACAATTAACAGACTTAATAACAGGATAAATCTGAACTGTGTGACTGTTTTCAGCTCTTGTTGTAACATGTTGGATATTGCCTTTTAATTATTAAATTTTAAATGTAACATAAAATACCAAACTTTTGCAACTTAAGCAACCTGTTAGTTCAATTAAGGACTCATTAGGTAAAGCAGTTCTGCTGTAATGAAGGCCAGCATAGTGTGTGCCTCCAGGAAGCTCCACATCCCTTTCCATTCCTTATTGAGTCTTTTGATTATCCTTAACTGTAGTCATTTTGTTTTTAAAGGACAATAGCACTGGAGTTTACATGAATTATTAACACCTCGCAGTACTTTGAACACAATGCGCACAGTGTTTTCAAAAGAACTTAATAAAAGATATATTTTATGAAATAATGTTCTTTTTTCATCCAAATATAAATGTCAACTTTAGTACCAAGGAAGTACATTTTAAGACTGTACCAGAGCAGAGTCCTCCTGTTACTCTCTTATTGCAGGAGCCACTCAGGAGTCCCAGGCAGATATGTGAGGTAAACTTACCCACAGAAGTGTAGCGGGGGTTGAGCACAGCAGGCAGACAGAACCGCAGAGCCGCGTCCTCCTGCACGGGCAGCTCGGTGACGTAGAACAGACTGACAGAGGCACTCTCCCCCGGGGCCAGGCTGCCTACGCTGAGCCGGAACACATCAGGGCTCTCGTCGCTCTCCTCCAGGAGGAAGGCCTGCAGCCCGGAGCTCAAGGCATCGTCGTACTGCTCCCGAGCCTGGGAGACACACAGCAGCTTCACTGCTACACAGCTCCACACTGACGCTAAAGTGCAGATCAAGTGTCCGAAAGTGCAAATCAGGCACAGAGACGTGGAAGGAGAAACATGGTGACTCCCCTTCTGTGTTATCTCTACATAAACGATGTGCTGTATGACTTACTAGGCAGACAGCTACTGTATGTTTGGCTACATTACCATTCTAGTCAACCATGCTACAGGGACACAGTATCTTAGCCCAATACTCAATTAAAGCAGAGCTAATGCCTGCGTTATCAAATTTCAAATCACACACATGTGACGAATAATGATCAGAGACTAGATGAAACTCACCTCCTGTTTATCTCGAACCTCTGCCTCAATCTCCACCCCCCCAATTCGGGCAGTGAAGCGATAGACAGCTGAGCTGCCTTCCATTGGAAACACAAAGACAGCCTCCACTGGACTGGACTCCTTGTTCTTATATTGCAGTGTGGAGGAGACATCTGCCACAAAGCCCCGCACACGGACCTCCACTGATATCGACTTCAGAGGCACTGAGACACAGAGAGAGCGTGGCTGATATGCATATTCTGCCTGACACTGACAGGGAGACATGAATACTGACACTCGCAGAGAAAGAAAGGGAGATGGATAAATACATAGTGCCTTGCAAAAGTATTCAGACTCATGCACAGTTTTTCCCATTTTGTCATGACCCCTTCGAAGGAGCAATTCAATTATGTTACCTCCTCCACACTTTCAAAGAAAAAAAAAAGAAGTAAACAGAAAATATAAAACAAACTTGTAACTCAGGGAAAAAAGTCATTGAAAAGCACTGATCAAAAGCATATAAAAATATCAAGAAATGAATGTGCATTGTACCACCCAGAAACTGTTATAAGGCAGCTACTTACCTGGCAGTGCCTATTAGATTTTTGTAAGAATGAAGGATTAACCCAGAAGCTTACAATGAGCTATCATATTGAGTCCAATTCAACAGAAAGTTATCTGAACTATAAAAACTGTGACCGCTTTTTTCATTTTTCGTTTTTTCATAACCTTTGTCCTCTCCACCGCAGTAGTCGGCCCTTGAATGTCAGGACAAGTTTGCAAACTGAGCTTAAGAGTGGGTGCAACCAGGTCAAGACAAGCCATGTCCCAAGACCTCTGTAGGAAGTGTTTAGTTCCTGGAGGAGTTTTGGCTTGTGCCCAGACTCATCTGATCTTGAATGCACCAGATAATAATTAATAATAATTGCTCACACTTATATAGCGCTTTTCTGGACACTCCACTCAAAGCGCTTTACAGGTAATGGGGACTCCCCTCCAACACCACAAATGTGCAGCCCCACCTGGATGATCAGAATGCATCAAAATGGTCCGTACGAGCAATGTTTGTAGTGAAAAATTGTGTAACCCAACAGGCAAAATTAATAAAATTATTGTAATGCGGTTAAAGTTATATTTCTAGCTCAAGCTCCCTGTACCTCTCTTGGGGGAAGGGGAATTATATGTAGCAATCACAACATATACAAATTAAATGATTAGCTGGTTGGTTTGACTGTTTAAGGTTCATTCTTGATGGACTAAATATGAGAGGGTCCAGGTGCAACGCTGGCTTGTTACGGCAACTGATCAATTACTTTATTAGGGGCAAGTCGTAGCTCACCCATGGAAAGTAAGATCTCCAGATAACATGCTGGTTTAGGAACAGCAGAGAAGTGTTCAACAGGAAAGACAAAGATTTATAACCCTAAATTGTTTAGTTAGGAAGTACCTGAGTTTGGCTGAAGCCTTTATATGAACTGAAAATGACTCATCTCTTTAGAACTACTGCTTTCCTTTTATTACTCACACCTTGCACTGTTTTAGGATTTTGCTGTGTTTGTTCAAAAACAGTATTAATTTTTAGAAGCTCAGAAGCTCAGCTGTTTTTCTGAAGCAAATACTTGGACCTAACAATTTCTCTGTCATATAATTTTAACAGTATTATATATGTCCTGAGGACAGTGTATCTGCATGCATTTATATTATCTGGAGAAACATTGTCTCTGCTCTTGGCACATCTAACATTATTAATATCCCAAGCCTGTAAATATTTACCAGCTTTCCCATCTTCCTAGTTGTACCTTTTTTTGTTGCACAGTGTAGATTGTTATGTGAAGATCAGATGAGATCAAACTGAAACTTCTTGGTCTAAATTTGAAAGTATTTCATCTGGTGCCTCATCCCTACTGACAAACATGATTGTGGCAACACTGTTATGGGGCAGTAGAGTCTACCAAGACTAAAACCAGCAGCCATATCACTGTGTAACTCACAACTGACAGCCCACTGAAGCTCAGCAGGTGTGAGCCTGGCCAGTACCTGGATGGGAGACCACCTGGCTAAAAAACTAAGGTTGTTGCTGGAAGACGTGTTAATGGGGCCAGCAGGGGGTGCTCACCCTGCAGTCCATGTGGGTCCTAATGCCCTAGTATAGTGATGGGGACACTATACTGTAAACAGGCTTTGGATGAGACAGAAAAACTGAGGTCCTGACTCTCTGTGGTCATTAAAAATCCCAGGGTGTTTCTCAAAAAGAGTAGGGGTGTAACCCCGGCGTCCTGGCCAAGTTTCCCATTGGCCCTTACCAATCATGGCCTCCTAATAATTCCCTGCTATATAAGTGTAAGTGATTACTATTATTAAAATTGGGAAGAGAATGCACCTTTTGTCACGGATGTCAGAAGGGACAAGGCAGGAGAGCGAAAAAAGACCCTATGCGTAGCGATGAGACAGGGATTAGCCCAGGCTCAGCCGGTCAGACGATGTCGAGTAGAAACCTATGCCCTCAGGCCGTGGAGGAGACGACCTGGTGCTGGGCGGGTCTCCAAGATATCCGGACCCTCAATGCTGAGCGAGGAGGAAAGGGTGAGCACGAAATATATAGCCCCAAACAAAGACACACCGGAAGGACAAGCAAAGCACAGGGAAACTAGGAACAGGACAGAGCTGTAGAGGACGTGACACCTTTGAGCTGGACAATGATCCTAAACTACACTGGAATGGCTTAAGAATAAGAAAGTGATTTCCTTGGGTGGCCCAGGCAAAGTCCTGACTTCCATCCATTTGAGAATTTGTGGAAAAACTGCTGTCCACAAGCAATTCCCATGAAACGTGAGAGAGCTTGAGCAAATGTTACTAGAAGGGGCATAAATTGCACCAAAGATGGTGGAGAGACTTAGACAAAAAGGACTATAAAGCGCAGTAATTACTGACCAAAGTGCTACTACCAAATACTGAGTTCATGGACCTCATTACTTGTACTTACAGAGCTTAATACACATACTGACACAGAGACAGAGAGATGCTAACGCACAGACTAACAGCTACAGAGCAGAGAGAGGGGGTTACATACACATTAACACTGTGTTGGGCCAACTCAAAGAGAGAGCCATATGGCTTCTAAATTACATGTAACTGGACACTGAAGGGAATAATTAGGCAATGATTTAACTGGTACGAGTTTTTAGAAACACACACTGTCACATTGATTCAATTAATCTTTTGCTATAAAAAGGGTGTGTACAGACAGGATGGGGGTGGGCTGTTCTTTAAGTTGACTTTGTTATTGAATTGCCTGAGAAAACATACTGTATATAAAGCCTCATGGACTTTCTGTTGCAACGTTTTTGTGCCTGCAGACCTTGAGTCCGCCCTGGCCTGGTGTAACGAAGCATAGTTCTGGACCCTGTGCAGACGTTATAATCTAGAAGTGAGTGAAAAAGGACAATGGGGAGGAGACAATGAGGATCAGGAGGGGTTGACAGACAAGGGGCCGTGACGATGGTGAGCTGGTGCTCGGGTGGCCAGGGCGAACAAGTCCAAGGGAGTCCAGGGGGAAAATCTGGGGCAAAGTCCAAAAGCCCAAAACGGGGTGATCCAGCCGAGACAGGACAAAACAGACTTAAAAGCCAGTACGAGATCCGATACAGGGACTGGGAAATAAAAACAGGATGACGGGACCAGGCACTCTGAGCCCTGGACTCAGCAGGGTCAGGACACTGATAGGAGGCCTGTGCCCTCAAGCTGCGGGCGTAGGGCGACTTGATGGTAGGCGGGCCTCCGGGCGTCCGTCTTCCAGTGTAGAGCCCGGAATAGAGTGAGTGTCTGGTTTAAATAAGGAGGGGCAGGATAGGAGGCAGGTGGACATAATCAACTAAAATGTGAAAGAGACGGAGCTCTTTAAGAGGAAGGATTACGATCGTGACACCTGGTTCCTGTCCCACACTGAAAGAGAATGGGGTCCAAACAGTGAGACTGACAGAGAAGTAAAATAAAGGAAATTCATCCACTGTGTTACTGTCACAGAGAGACATGGGGGCCAATCCAATTAAATTCTCTGGTTTTTACCTGGGTCTTTTTGCAGAGTCACAAGCCCACAGCAAAGCACCATCTTGTCTGAGGAAAAAACATAAACCAACAAGTAAAGAGGTAGTTTCTCTGTCTAAATTCAGTGTTATCAAGTATAGAGACAGAACTACATACTACTACACAAACTAGCCACCACAAGAAGGTCTGCATCTCCAGTGTGATTGCTAATAAATACTTTTCTCATAAGCTTTATTACAGTTTGCCATAATTGTATGTCTATTTGCATAACAAGCAACACAATATTTACTGACATAGAGAAAATAAGAAGTAGTGTAAGTAACAAGCAGAAACTAAGAGAAATCACTGAAACTTGATTAATGGCAGTGATTCACCCTGATCCATGAGGGCGGCAGTCCTCCAAGATACAAAGGTGACAAACAATCCTCAAGGAGTCACAGCATGGAACAGTAGTAATTAGAACTCAGTGAGGAATAAACCCAGAAGCAGCCAACCCTTCAGGACCAGAGTTACTATCAGTGTTATAATCGTGTATCATTCACAACCTAAGGCCGACTAAGATAAGATCAGATCACTTTATTAGCCATATAAGCCATTTATTTAGCGAAGCAAAAACTCAGAATTAAACGTGAAAACTCAGAATTGCCAGCTGAGCTAAAGAAGACCTTCTTTTTTTAAGTAAAAAAGGACATACAATGGAAATATATAAAAAGTATACGTTTCAGCTTTTATAAAACTATGGAAGCCTCACTGGCGGAAATGGGATTCCATAAAAATGAGTGTAATTAATTTGATTTTTATCAGGGCACTGTACAAGACACGTCTTCAGGCCTATAGATCCCATGATCCTGTACGATTCATGAATATAGTGTAACGGAATGGCTGACATACAGGTTGCACGATATGGTTGCAGTGTGGTGACGGCACCGCCCTCCCCTGTGCATAACAGGGATGCTGGCCGCCGGGGCTAAAGAAAGTGTTCTTTAGCTCAGCTGGCAAGACCTGGGTTCGAGCCAATGCAGGGAGGCACGAAGCAGAGTGGGAGCGGGGAAGGTACAAGCCCTAGAACCCGAATCCGTTACAATAACAAAAAGACAGACAATGAAATGTGGGCTATTTCGAAGTCGCAAATGTGAGATAAAAGTCGCAATTGCAAGATATAAAGTCGGAATTCTGAGTTTCTAAGTCGGAATTCTGAGTTTTTAAGTGGCAATTGCGAGATATAAAGTCGGAATTCTGAGATACTAAATCGCAATTGCAACACATAAAGCCTTCAAACTAAATGCATTTTAAAGACCGCGTATTTACGCAATTGCGCACCGACCGAAACACTGAGGGACCACTGTGAAACCCTTTTATTTCTGAAACCCTTTTTTGATGTCCAGTTCTCATTCAGGTAAGGGTCAACTACATATGCAATACTGCTGACAGCAGGAAACATATTGTAACGTTTACAGGTTCTTCTCAGAACAAAGGACCAGTAGAGACGCGATTAACGAACTAAACGATAGCTTTATTCTTTAACAACCACCAAACCAAACACAGGATACACACACACATGAGGAGACTGACGGAACACGTACAATCTTTAGGGTGGTAATTACTTAACAAGACGCTATACACTTATAAGACTACACAGGATACTAGAACTACTATGACATTATTTACACAGGTAGGGTCAGCCGCTGGTCATCGTGCTGACCCTCAGACTCTCCCCGGCTTCAACTCCCAGCCTGCCCAGCGGTACTATGAGCGCCTAGGGGCGCTTTCTCCTCACCACCAGGCGAGGGCGTTACAATATGTACTCTTCTGTAATCAACAACTTTTTAAAAACAGCACCCATGATGTTCAAACCGAATGTTTTAATCAGAAGACTGATCTTTCACGGTCTTGCTTTGATTTGTGAAATATTTCTTTATTTTTTAAAGACTTTTTGAATAAGACACCATTAGACACGCATTACACTGGGATAGGGGGATGCTCTTCTTGAGTAAATAGCGTCAGAAATAAAACAAACTAATCCCACGCATTACAGGCTGGATAATTGGAGACTAATTGAGTTTGTCTCTGTTGTTCTGCTTCCGATGGTCATATGCGGGTGGTTCGCGTGAACACCTATCGAGCAGTATTTCTCGCATTGTGAACTTATTGTAACGCTTACGGCCGACAGGCACTGTGTAAGAGCCGGCGTACCAGAGCAGGTGACGTCACCGCCCTTCCCTGTGATAGCAGGACTACAGCTAGTCGGCTGTACAGAGATCTCGCTTTGGCTCACCATGCTGGGTCGCTGCAGAGTGACGCGGGAGTCCCGGGTTCGAGCCCCCGACGGTGGGGGGCCGACCTAATGCGACAAAGGCGCCCGCCTGAGCCCCCGTTGCGTTACATTGTGTACAGAACGGTCCTGCAGTGTTCCAATTGGTGCGTAATTGCGCATCAATCAAAATGCTAAGGTTTTTAAAAAAAAGACAATTAGCTTCCTGCTAAGTTTATGTAAAGGCTGCGAACAATTTCACAAATCGCGGTCTTTAAATTAGTTTGGTTTGAAGGTTTTGTACGTTTTCTGTTTTGACAACAGAATATTAGTGTGTTGGCAAAAGAAATGGCGAAAAAACGACGAAGTGAAGGCTGGGAAAACATTCACAAATCATCTTATACACAGTGCAAGTGTTTTCATAACTCTTCGTGAAAACGCTATTGACGTTCCAAAATGAATACCGAAGTTCGAGCTAATTTTACCGCGGTCCAAGTCCCGTCACCATACTTAATAAATTCAGAAATAGTTACCTGGCGTCCTCGCTATCGTGCAGTCTTCGGTTCCTGACCGTCTGAAACAGACTGTGGGATCCAAATATGAGAATGCGCAGAGATACAAAGATCTTATATTGAATCACGGTTTCGTAGCTCTCTGTAACGTTCGAGTTTCCAAGATAATATCAATGATAATATTAATCGCGGCCCTTTCGCACTTAAATACTAAGGAAAATCCGCAACTGGTGCAATTTCGGCTAGACGCAGCTCCGTCGTGTTCCCCTGCAAACCGCTTAGTGACTCATATCACTCGTTCGTGCCAGTTTGGCTCTGGGTCCTGATGTATTAAGCTGTTTGGGGAGTGTATGCCCAGACCTTTGCTGTATGAGGACGTGCCTGGCCGCATAAACAATACAGGAAGGTTATTCACAATATTGCAGTTTTCTTTCTGTTTAGAGCAGAAGGGAAGGCAGCGAATGCCTCTGTTAATACACTTAGTTTGGAACAATTGGAGTGTTCAAAGAGCACTTTTGGAAGTTGTAATCTACATCCAAATATTTCACGTGTAAACTTTACCATGATCTACACTTACATACTGTATACACTTTACCACGATGTAATATTTCCTTTGTGATGAAATATGATTTAATATATATGTGTAAGGTAATCATTTACATTTTTCTTTTATGTGCATTTAAAGTAATCCAATAAACATTTGATGTCGTCTTCAATCCTTGTACATTGGAATAAAACAGCTAACTCCCAAAATACAGGAAACACGTGAGTAAATGAGGGATACAAAGTACTGTATCTTGAAAGCAGGTCCTTCCACACAAGAGTAGTTCCTGATTGAATTAGGCAATTGACATCCCAGCATTCTTAGGGTCCTTGATAAAAATGCTGGGCAGGTGCCACAGAGAACCGGACTTCAGTGGATTGGGATCCTATGAGAGGCACTTCTGATATAGACGGTTCAGTGTTGAGACGGGAGGCGAAGGCGTGGTCGAGGACTAGGCTAGGAGGTCAAAATCCAGAAAGGTTCCTTGAGTTCGAAGGTACCAGATCGGGAGGCGAAGACATTGTCGAGAACAGGAGCTGGGGTCAAAATCCAGGAAGGTATTGAGAGTTCAAAGGTACCAAATCGGGAGGCGAAGTCCTAGTTGAGGAGAAGCATAGTCGAAATGCCTGGTGTCTAGTAACAAGCAAAGTAGGGTTGGGAACATCCGAATAAGGAGCTCAGTGAGGAGACCTCAATCATGAGCAAGGAAGGGAGGACTAGTGAGGGTTTAAATAGTGCTGAGTAGATTGGTGCATGGATGTTTAGGGAGAGAAGAGTTTGTGGGAATGTAGGAGTGCTTACATGCCCGAGTGCGAATCGTGACAGGCCCACCTACCCATTATTTTGGCTACAATGGTTAGAACAAGAGATCTCAGTGACTGTGAGAGAGGGGCTGATTGTTGGGGCATGTTTAGCAGGGGCTTCAATGCTGAACATGCTGATGTTTCATGAGAAACAGTGGTTGAGGTGATGTTGGCATGGGAGTCTGAGGTAAAGGTGTCATAAACGAGTGGTGTGAGACTGTATGGTCTGTCGAACTTCACAGAGAAAGGATGCAATGTTTGGGATGCAGTGCAAAAACCACATTGTGCCTAAAATTGAAAATGGGCAGTGGTCTACTGAGCAGTGGAAAAAGTCATAAGGGCAGATTAATTTTTCTTCACCCTGATCTCAACAAGTGGATGAGTACATGTTGGGCACACCAAAATCCGACTACAGGCTCAAGCACTTGTTTCCCCACGGTGAAGGGGGCACAGTTTAGGTCCACTTAACCCCTTAGAGGGCAAGGAAGCCATCCTGATCGATCAGTCCACTGCTGAAGCATTTCTATCCTGATGGGAGTGGACACTTCCAGGATGACCACGCTCCAATCCCTGGGGCTTGGGTGGTCACTGAAGGGTTTGATGTGCATGAAAATGCTGCACTCTGTATGCCATGGCCATCCCAGTCACTAGATCTCATGGAGAGGAGCTTGAGACACCATTTTCCCCACCACCATCAACAAAACATCAAATGATCTAATTTCTCATGGAAGAATGTCCCAGACACTTGTAGAATCTATGCCAAGGAACATTAAAGCTGCTCTGGTGGTTAATGGAGGCCCAGAGCCATGTTAAGATGCTCATGTTGGCGTTTCCTTTATTTTGGCAAATTGTATATACTGTAGAATTCTAACAGACTGAAATCAAGACATATTTTATTTTACCTTTATTTACACGTAGCAAAAAATCACCAATCTGAAAACCAAACACTCTACTTTGGAAAAGTAATTCCATTTAGAAAAATGAGTTGGATAAGTGAACACGCCCCTGAGTTAGTACTTGGTGGCAGCACCATTTGCTTGAGTTACAGTCATATCATTCTGTTCTGGATAGGTCTGTACCAACGTCTGCCCATTCCTCCTTACAGGACTGTTCCAGCTCAGTCCAACTGAGAGGACACTGCTGATGGACTGAACCTCTAAGTCATTCCACAGATTTTTAATTGGATTAGGTCAGGGTCTCTGACTCAACCACTCAAGGATGTTCAGGATGTTTAGGCAAGGCTAATCTTTTATAAGATCATGATGATTGTTTCCCAGTCCCTGGGTACTACTTCTGTCTTAAGTGACTGTTGGAAGAGTTGCATCAATGGCTTCTGAATAATACATGTATTGTACTCAAGGAAACAAGATCTACAACAGTACAGTTGTTAAAAAGGTGAAGACCAGTCAAGAAAGTTTATTTGTGGATTAACACAGTGATATGTACTTGGACACTGCTCTTTTACATTAAATTTGGAGAAATAGCAAACAATGTGGAAGAAGCAAATATAATTTAAAGAGCTTTAGATACCTGTAGACAATGTACTACTGTAATGCCACTAGGGGGTGTCATCCCTGAGGCACAGTACAGACTTTATAGACTCCTTTGCATGCATAAAGATGGCCACATGAGAATGCCAGCACCTAAAATGGTGACACAGCCTATACAAGTTGCCTATACAAGGTAATCAAGTTACTATACAGCCTATACAAGATAATCAAGTAGCTAGCAGGCACACCTGCTGTAAAGGATGGCTTGCAGACGATAGGTCAATATGATACAACTGCTTTGCTTTGCTAGATGTTAACACCTATTTATATAATCCTGAGGTAGAATTGAACTATGAGATGACCTGAAGCTAAGTGAATGAATGGTATTAAATGAGGTAAAACTGCCCTGTATCAAAGGCTGTCCTGTATTATAACTGTTGTGCTATTTCAAAACAGGTAAAAAAAACACTGCTATAGCTGAAGCCTGGGGGGAAAAAATGTTTATGGACAGACCAAGAAGGAAGACAGTGAACACAAGACCCGAGGTTAACCAACAGAGTTGTACAAAAGGTTAAAAAGAAAACAAAAGGAGAATAAATGGAAAACAGATCACAGGCAGGAGGTCACAGAGTAAAATGCAGACTTGGCAAAGCCAGTTTAGATTGTGATCTTGGAGAGATTTTTTGTTATAATTTAAATGAAAGAAGGCATTGAAGAAAGAATCTAAAATCCTATATATATATATTGCAACAAAGCATTTAAGTGATAAAGCAAATATGTGTATCACCAGCTGGGAAAGCCATATCAGTATCTAAAAGAGACACAAAGCACAGCTGCAAGGTACAGACCGAACACTCTTTATTTATAGCACTGAAAATCTCACAAAATCCTGAGCTCCTCAATAGTCCCTCACTAACAAAACCGGGCAACTAAGCTCCTTACCAGTTTCCAAAACCATTTCGACTAAACTCTTCACTAAAGCTCAGTCTCCCTCTGAGACACTTCATAAAAGTCACATTCAAAGTTACTCACTGTTTCAGCATTTTGGTCAGATGCTCCTTCTACAGCTGGTCATTCCACACACAAACTCCATGTTTTCCAGAAAGCAGGCAAGGTTGACCTAGCAAGCTTCCTGTTTTTGAAAGTGTCATCTGACCAATTTGTCTTCCAGCACCTGTGAGCCAGACAAGGGCCTCCATCTTGTCTGAACCTGTTGTACTATCAAAGGCATCATGCAGTAGAGGTGCTTGTACTCACAGCTCCACAGTTCCCAATAGGCTCCCAGTCCCTTATAAGATGCAAAACTCTTCCAATGCTCCTTGAGAGAAGCAGAACTAAAGAATACATTAAAGGGTCCATAAAAACGAAGGTAGGAATCCATACTGAAGCGATAAATAATGACACCTTTCCCAGTAACACGTTTGGCCCTGCTGCTTTAATGAGGGAAAAGACTGAAGCCCAAGTCACTGACTGACGTTTAATGGAAAGAGAAATCAGAGTAAGAGATTGAGCCATTAATGTGAGGGACTTGAAATTCTGCGGAGCTGAACCATTAATTGTGTATTGTAAAAGCATTTTGGAGAGAGAAATCGGCATTGGTTGCATTTAACGTCAACCAGACAACTCTGATAATTCATTATGAAGCTACATCTAGGTGTTTTTGTTCATGGAATATTATTTTAGATAAGAGCATCAGAAAGGCAACAGATAAGAGAAAGCCATCGAGCTCAGCTTTCTTTTTCCACCAAGGAAGGGTGTTCCAGAAGCCCACCACTGTCATCAGCCACTGTGAGAAGCCCAGTATTTCCTATTATTATATATTAACAGTTTTTGTTTTGCTGCCTACACTTGTCTACATTAAATGCCACCTGTGAATGTTTGCCCAGTCTTTTTTTTTCCCCATTGTGCAGTATTAGTTTGTTTCCCTGCGTTGGAATTGCTGTGGTTTACCTAGGGGTGTACGGATGGTACTGTGGGGAGTGTAGTGTAGTAAAATATTTTGAAAATAGCAGATCAGAATGGCAAGTCAGCTTTCTCGAATGCTTTCTTAACATAATTAGCCTTGTAAAAATTTAAATTCATTAACTAAATAGTGGGGAAAGTAGAGTGAGCACTAGTGTAAAGACTCTGGATTATTTAAAACATAAAAATAATCAAACCTAATGACGAACCCTATATTCTCCACAGAATTAGGCCATTGGGAACTGTAACATTCCAAAGCTATTATAAGCAGCTCTCTAGAAAGGCAACTCACATATATCATACCCATATATCATACTTAAAAGATCCTTTCCACGGTACAAAATGTGAACTTCACTTTTGCACTAACTATACCAAAATCTCAGTGACTGATAAAAAGCAAATGTTATATCTTTCATGAATGGAAAAACAATGTACGAGGTACCAAACCTTAAAATTCTGGAACCCTTATTCTGTGGATTAATTTAACACGAACCTTCCAGCCTGCTGCACGCTGAGCGATCTTCCGATTGACCGGAACACGTGGGTTCCTGCTACAATGCGATCGTTGCTGTAACACGTTTTCTGCTGAAGTGCTGCCGATATTGATATTTACATGGCAGCAGCGGTTGCTAGCATGGGGGAGATAGAAACCGAGCCGGTGCGGCCCAAAGTGACTGATGCCAAAGGAATCCTCCAGCAGAATCGAGAGTTCCTTGATTTTTTTTGGGATATCGTGAAACCGGAGCAAGAAATACGATTAAAAGCCATCGAAGATCTGATCTGCTATCTGAAAAACAGCGAGAAGGTAGGACTGTAATGATTATTTACGTACATTGCTATAATAGGTTTCCTGGGTTTTTGATAGAATTAGGGATATATTTAGGGGGCAAATACAAATTAATTTTAAAACAAAATGTTCAACGAGACTTTTCAGGAGTTTTGTGCATACACAAGACTTTCCAGACTTGGTTTAACCACGTGGGTTTTGGTGACACTCATGGGCTTCCTTTGGCTCTTGATAAAACGTCTTTTTAGGACCTGCTATAAGGACCTTAAAATGTAGTAGTTATGCTAAGCGAATCAGCAGCGGGTTCTTAAAAGTTTGCCCAGAATCTCAGTTGTTAAAAGAAAGGTGATTTTTATTTTGTTGTTTTTGATTACTTGTCAATGCTGCGAGACATTTGATATGTCTTTGCTTTGTGTGCATTTTATTTTTGTGCATTTTTAATAATGTTACGCAAGGTTTAACATACGTTTTCAGCAGTTTTATCATTTCGATATTTTTTTCAATTAATGTTTTTATTTCTGTGTTTGGTTAGGAATTTTGTTTATTCCTCTTGCATTCTTATTATTTGATAAACAACGAGCTTTTATTAAGAAGCTTGTCGAGGACTGTATTTGCAATGAATAAATAATTGACTCGCCTAACCCAGTGAGTAACGTTGGTTAGCTATGCATTTTCATTGCAGGAATGTTAAAGAGCTGATGGGGAATGATTTAGTTTGATGCCTTTGATGTCAAATTAACTTTGTACAGTTTTATACAGCTTGGAATGGTCTTGAATGAACTTTGCTTAATGGTATAAGAGCACTATCTCACCCAGGGCGTGAACTCACAGTTATTCAGGTACAAGTCTAGAGGTCTGACCACTCCTGCACACTTCAGTGGTAGTGTTTTATTTAGGCAGCATTGCTATTGTGGAGGAGTGGTGAGGAGGTGTTTGTGGTTCAGATCCTAGTGGGACACAGCAGTTGTACCATTTAGCATAGTGCATCCCTCAGATTTCTCTATTAAATTGCCAAGTTCTTTACATTTGGACAAAAGTGTCAACCAAATAAAACACATTATTCTTCCTTTTTATAGTTTGACCCTGTAGGTCTTCCCATGCGGAAATAATTAGGTACTTGTTTTTTACATCTGGGTGATCTGTGCCCCACAAAGGGTCTCTGGGTGTGAGTGTGATGGGCTAATCTTCTCTTCCCTCTTTTGCTCTCCCTCCCAGCCGGATGAGCTGAAATACACCCTGAAGCGACTGGTGGACGGGCTGTCCCACACTAGAGAGACTGCGCGGCCTGGCTTCAGCTTGGCTCTGGCCCAGGTCAGTGTCCTCCACAGCTGTCTCTGAGTGTGTGTCAGGAAATGAAGAAGCTTAAACATCGTGTTAGAACCTGTTAGTAGGTAAAAAACAAGTAACACGAGCAGTGCTTCTTACTGCCAAGTTAAAGAAGTTGTCCAGCACTGAACAACATAAGGATGATTACTTAGGAGAGGAAGCTATTCTACCCCATTTGCTAGGAGTATGATCCAAGGATCCCATCCAGCTGTTTCTTAAAGGATGCCAAAGGATCACCTTCACATGGCTGGGCAACCTGTTCCATAACTCTTAAGAGTAAAGACCTGTTTCCTTTTTTCTCTGTTTTAAATATGCTTCGACCTAATTTTCACTGGTATCCTATGGGTTACGTTACAAATACAAGTAAAACAGACTAGAAAATAATCACGCTTGTTACAGGATAATTATACATGACTTAGAGTTCGAGAATTTCCAGCCCGAATGCTCGGCCACCTGAATTCTTTCTCTGCACCCTGAAGATGTTTTTTTGTCCTGCAGCAGAAGGCTGTGAGAGTGTCTGAGCTGTATGGAACTCAAATGCATTTGCATTACAGTTACATTGAAATGCAACTTGTGTTTTTCAACAGCCGGGTTCACTGTGATGATTGTGTTGTACTCTTTCATAGTAACCCAGACATAAACATATGGTGTTTATTGCAGGTCCTGCAGGTGTTTGAGGAGATCCCACTGCAGACAACACTGGACCATATTAAGGAAAAGAACAACCTGGAGACAGTGAAGAAGGTCAGGAAACAGTCTTTCCACACTCCCGACTGGATACCTAGAGCTCCCAAGTACCACATTCTTGCCATGGAGTCCTCTCCTGTCCATGGTCTCCTGATCTGATGTAGATGGTCTTCCTAGCCATGGAGATGTCTGGAAAGTTTGTGGGAAAATTACATTAAACTCTAAAGTATTGGGACAGAAATGTCAACTAAATACTGAAGGAAAGGTCTAATTAAATACTGACGGTCTTAATGTGGAAAGCGATGAAGATGGCTACGTGTTCTCAGAACGGGTTTTAGTAAATAGTAAACCTTCTGCCAGCTTCTGAAAATTAGGACGTTTTATTGGATTTTAAGACTTGGGAAACGGGTAGATCCAGCTCTGTTGCCTTGGTTATTTCTCTGATGGCCTCACCTGATTTTTATTATTCCTCAGAAACTCAGAAGAAATGCTGCATTTGGGAATTTCTTCGGAGTGTTGGCTTTGTCCCAGTCGGGACGCCTCCCTAAGGTAACTTAAGTTTTGGAAAACGCTGTTGTTGAGGGCTGTGTATTCAGCTCACTAGAGATTGAGCTCATGGGGGAGTGAGGTAGTTTCCGAGTTTAATACACAAATGTCTCAGGCCTGCCTGTGTGTTGCTGACAGGAGCCCAAAGTGGTCCTGGAGTGTGTGAAGCTGCTGCAGAGCCTGGACCAGTTCAGAGAGCACCTGAAGGATCTGCCCAGGAAGACCATGGTGGACATCCTGTCTGAGGTGAGCCTTCAGGCCTGCAGTAACACTGCTGCAGAGTGACGCTCAACTGTTTCCTTCCTGTGGTGACTTGTGTTGGCTATGACGTGTTGCTTTTGGCTCTCTGTGGAGATTATAGTGGATAAACAAATTCCTTTCTTCAAGAACAGCATTTCTCCAGCAAGGAATTCAGTGACTGGTTCTATGAAATTGGTTAATGTCCTTTAAATGTCCATCCTTTAAAGATGTTGCACAAAGCAGTAGAACACAGTACAGTCAGTGCTGTAGTGAAGGGACAAGGAATTCATGCATTGATTCTGTGCCAACTCAGTTGCTTGATGTTAATTGAATTAATGTTAAAGGGCTTGTATAAACCTCATATAAAATGTCCCAACTGATGCCCTGTCATTATACTATCCCAGATTTTCAATTATGAAATTGCAGTCTGCAGTTCAGTTTTCAATACTAATTTGGAAAAACCTTCCCTGTCCCCTGGCAACATTCCTCAGTGGAAATGCTCCAAGTGGCCAGTATGTGTCACTTCTTCTGGAGATCAAACTAGATTTAAAATGCTTCCTGAGAAACAAGTCATTTGCATTTCAGGCTGAAACAGTTCTGGTTGGTGTGTGATGGCTGCAGGACCCTGCAGCTGCCAGACACTCACACAGTCAGTCTCCTTACAGAAGGTCCAGTCTCCTGGCTTTGTGGTCATTACTGCCACATATTGGAAGACCAAGTGTCAGTCACAAAGCAATGAAATAACAGTCAGGAGGTTTGCCCCTGCAATCATGTCAACAGCTGTCAAGCTGGACTGGTCAAAAACATGTCGATAATGTGCCTGTCAAGACAAACCACAGCTGTCAATGACTGACCTCAAAGTTTACTGAAAATATTTCAAAGATTGAAAGCTCATTTGGAAAACAACTTTATTAAGTCTGTAAAAAGACGAATTTATGAATAACATTATTTGCTGTTTAATAACACTTACTGTAAATCTCATGAGTTCATGGAAAATTTCCAGTTTACAAAAGAGTTCTTATTTACTATCCATGATCTTTTCTAATGCAGGCTAAGAGGCCATTCTGTCTCCCACGCATTGTCACAGCCCCGACAGATCAGACTGTGTTCAGTGAAAATCTCCTTTTTAAAGTGTTTGCAGAACAGTATGTGCTGATGAATGCCAGTAGTCATATTGAATAAAGCTTATAAGGTTGGCTTCCCCCAACACCTATAGATAGATATCAGGTCAGAGAGAAAATATGTTGAAGTCATTGATCCTGTGACAAGCATATTTTCTTTTTATGTGACTTAAAACTTGGACAACACTCCGTGTTGCTGTTTATTTAAGTAAAATCACATTTTATGAAAGTTGTGTTTGTCTTCTGAAAATTTCCAGCCTTTTTATTGCTCTTGCAGTCCCTGACACAGCTTCCAAGCAATCCTGGCTCCTTCCCTGCTCGTTTGAAGCAGTAGAGGTGGCATGTTCGGAGCACGGTTTCCAGATGAGTTCCACCCTGTAGCAGCTCCATATTGAGGAGCTATTTCTTCCGACAAACTCTTGTGTCTTTTTTTTCTCCAGACTCCAGAGGCAGTGTTTGAAGAGGTGCTGTTGGGGGCGCTGCAGAGCGACCTGTCCTCAGCATTCAGCACCCCAGAGCGGCTGCACCTCCTGCTGGTCGGCATCCAGAAGTTCCCAAGCGTGCTGAAGCCTAAGAAACTGAAGAAGCTCCTGGGGACGTCCACAGTGGTCACAATGGAAAACATCCCAAAGTAAGAACCTTACTATCTCGTTGGCTCCAGGCCTCTAGGGTCTGTAAATAGGGTTGCTGGGTGGCAATTAGATAATTAGATTATTGGTGATGGTTCTCACCTGGCATTAATTACTGATGTGTGAGCTATAAAAGGTCTCATGGTGTTAGTCGGTAGTTGGGGTTTTTAGAGCAGTCTAGAGGAGTTGCTCTACAGTTTCTGTTGAATACTTTGCAGTAAAGAAATCTGGACTCTTCACTGTCTTCACCGTATAACACATGCGACATTTCAGAAGGAGCAGACTTCACTTACATCTATAGTGCTGTAGAGTTTGAGCAATTTATTTAAAACTTATTTCAATGTCTTGAAATAATGTAATGAATTTCCATTTCTTTCCTGTAAACGGTCCTCTCCGTTGTGAAAGTTCATGTTTAAAATGTTCAACACGATCAATCCTCATTTAAAATGTTGAACCATGCAAACATCAAAAACGGCTCTTGCTTCCGTTTCAATGGGTTTCTATTCCTTCACTTTTCCCATTATACTGATCAAGTGTCATTTTCAGTGTAAGTGAGTCGATGCCTGTTTTTTAATTAATGTGGCATGAGGTCAAATAAAAATCAACGGTTATTTTACGAACCAACAAAGCAGATTATTGAGAACAGGGCATTCGAAGCAGCAGTGCTTCTGTTTTTTGGGGTGAGTTTGTTTTGTGCTTTATACTTGAAAGACGTGTGTCTGAAAATAAAGAGCAGGGTTCTGGCGGTGTATTGCAGGGTAAGGCAAGCTTGGTTTTTTCATTCTGTTGTAGTGGCACATGTGATCCAACAGTGCTGAGAGCTCACTGGCCTGACTTTTGTATTATATATCAGTTTCAGTCAGACTTGTGGTGCAATCACACAGATGAATCTCGATTTAAGGAAGTTTAAAATGAGAGGAGTCCTGTTTCCCCATCTTGATTCAAGGATATTATCCAGCGATTTCTTAAACGATCACAGGCTTTTTATTTCAACAGCATGGCTGGGCAGTTTGTTCTGGATATCCTGCTTCAGTCCCAAATACATTCAGTGTTAAGTTCCCCTTGTGTTCTCAGATCTGTGTTCCACCGTTTGCTCCTGAAGTAGCTCACGTGGTTGGCTTTGTTGGATTTGAAATGCTTCTCTCAAGCCCCCTTGTAGTCTGTTTGAGACTAGAGAGATTTAAGAACCTTTAATATTAGATAAGACATTACTTTAAAGCAAAGAATTAACATCGTTGTGCATCTTCAAACCAATTTACAGAAGCAATATCCTGTTTGTGATATGTTGTCTAATAATTTAGTGAGAAATTGTTTAAGTAGGCTCTCCAACTTCTTCACAGAATTCTGTGGGGTTTTTTTTGGAGGTTCAAAATGCTGGATCGGGTGTGGTTGTTCAGATTGTGCCCTGTTCCTCATAACAATTTCTCACCTGTCTTCTTTCCAGGCTGATAGAGGTGTTAAAAATGGCAGCCAAGTCCGTGAAGAAGGACCAGACTCTTCCTCCCGTGGGTCTAGACCTGTTACAGATAGCTCTCAGGGAGGACAGCTTCGAGCTCTTATGGAGAGAAGCTGTCGTCAATGGTCTGCTGTTAGATCAGTCAGGACCCAGCAGGTAAGGATTTCAAAAGGGCAAAATGTGATGCGCTTTAATCGATGAAAGTAACCTGACCTTGTCATATCTCGCAGTCAGATCTGGAGGAAACATCAGACTTGGAGAAATGTTTCTTAAGAAAAATGAGAGAGCACACTATTATTAATACAAGAAAGGTTTTGAATAAAACAACATTCACTTTCTGTATCCTTATAAATTAACTTGGTGATTCTTCTGGTCCTGGTCTGCCACAACGGTTAAGTCACTAATAAAGTCTTTAAGAGAGGATGGTCTAGTTTTCATTCTTCTTGAACCATCACTAAAGTCCAAGAATTAAAGATTCTTTGATTCTGTTTTAATATAAATATTAGTTTTGTCTGATTGTTTCCTCAGAACAGCTTTCAGAGACTGGCGGTGGACTGTGGTATCTGCTGCTGTAGTGTCCTGTAGTGTATTGAAAGGCGGTACCTTGCTCAGATCGGTTCTCATGGTGAAGCCTGGCAATGTCTGTATAGACAAAATTAGTGCCGACATTTTCAAAAGTTTAAATTTTGACAGAAGTCTAACATTGTGGGATCAGGTAGACAGTTTTACTAAAAGCACAATTTAAAAGAAGAATCACCATAATCTTGTGTATGTTTAATATGAACAATTTTATTTTTATATCTAAAAGCAGCTGCACCAAAAAAATGCTACAGTTTGTGTGGGAATGTTCTTTTATTTGTCATTTGTCATGAGTCACTCTCCCGATCAAGTATCTGTGACAAATGGTGTGGTGGGATCCGGTCTGGATCATGATCTTGTCACACTTAAAAACACGCCATGTGCAAAAGCCATCTGTTGGGTGGGACCCATGAGTCCGGCAGCACCTGACGCTCTGCCTTTCTCCCTGCTCCAAAGCTACATGTGTTACCGGCTGCTGGGCAGTGCGCTGCCGATGCTGTCCCTGCCACAGCTGCGCCATGTGCTGACGGGGGAGGTGATGAGGCACTACGGGGAGCACGTGGTGTCTGCTCAGGTTAGTGGTTCACTCGTGTTGGAACCTTTAACTCATGTTTAACCTTCATGACACAGCCCTGGTCAGTTTATTCAAGGACACAGAAAACCATCATGGGCCCATTCTAAATGATGCTACTAACTGGTGCAATGGGTTCTCCCTGAACTTAAATGTTTCAAAAACAAAGGAACTGGTTATTGATTTTAGGAAAAATACCACACCCCCTCAACCCACTATAATTGATGGTCAGCCTGTTGAAATTGTCAATGACTATAAGGACTTGGGACTGGTCATTGACAAAAACCTAAAATGGGACAAATGTTGTGACACGGTCTATAAAAAAGGCCGACAGAGACTCTTCTTTCTTAGAAAACTCGGCTGCTTTAAGGCAGATAAAACTGTCCTTACACTTTTCTACAAATCACTCATTGAAAGTGTCTCAACATACTGCATCACTTGCTGGTGTGGCAACATGAGTACCGGTAACTGTAATAGCCTGGTAAATTAGTGAATATAAATGGCAAAATAATCAGGAATAATCAAATCCACTTAAGCATCCTTTACAAACAGAGGGTGACTAAGAAAGCCAAAAGCATCAGGGAGTGTGTGTCTCACCCCCTCCATTGCGAATTCATACTTCTCCCATCTCCCAAACCAAGAGACTCAGGAAGTCTTTCTTTCCCACTGCTATTACACTCTTAAACAATGCAAAGTAACTACCTTGTCTCTTGTTTCTTTTCTCCTGTAACACTTCTGTATTCTCTTCCCTTTTAATGATTTTTATTTGGCATTGTGTTGTGTTTGACTGTGCCGTAAAACAAATTTCCCCTAGAGAACAATAAAGCTTGAATTGAATTAACTCGTTATCAAAGGCGATGAACAGTGCACTTCCTGTTAAGGCACACTCAGATATATAAATGGGTATTAATGCTCTAGTACTGGCTCACTGATACCTTGTTAGGTGAAGCACACCCTGTTTAATGGGGATTTCTTCCTAGACAGGTTTTATCGTGCCAGATATCATTTAAGATGTTGAGAAACGTGGTAACTAGTTAGCATGCCCACTGCTCTTTTGGTTTCTATCTGCTCTTTAAGTACCATGATGGAGGGACCTTTGCCATTTTAAATCATAGAGCTTTTTTACGTCTTCATGTCTTGTTTTGTTTATTTTGTCTAATGTAACCCATTGGGTCAGGACGAGGCACTAATTGACCTGGGATTCTGAACATTCGTACACATCCACACACATCTTGAACAGGGGCCTGTAGTACCAGGTCACTGGGGTTTCCATGGGTTATTCATCTTCTTGTTCATAACTGGGTGATTTCCTTCTCTCACAAACAATTAGTGAAACTCAACGAGGTAAGAGATGGAATTAAGACTAGTGTTGTGTTGAATGTTGGCACGTGATGTACTGATCGAGCGGTGTGATTCTCTTCTTCCACAGCTCCCTGACCGGTTCAAGTTTGCCCCCGAGATGGACAAGTGTGTGGAGGAGTTCCTGAAGGGTTGCACTGACCCAGAGAAACAGCTGGCTGTGGTGTTGAGCTTCACCTTGCTCACCAACCAAGGCTACCCTGTGATACCTACCTTCTGGAAGGCAGTGCAGCACCTGGAGCTGTCTGCCCTGCAGAAATACGTGGAGTGGCTCAAGGACATGTTCATCAACCCGCAGCTGGACTCCTGCCTGGAGTTCTCCACCAGAAGACAGCAGCGAGTCCAGGAGTCCGGAGAAAGGTGACTGTCTCCTCTGTTCATGCTGGCATTTTGGAAACTAAAGGTCTGCTCCAGGTGCTCTGGTGGCAGTGGGAGATACAAGCCCAGCTAGCTAAGTCCACCTGTACTTCATAAGAAACTGCACTACTCGTATATCTTTGTGATTGATCTTTTATTAAAAGAATGTTCAACAGTTGTCCTTTTAAAGGCTTTCATTTGCAATCTATTAGAATGAAGTGTTGTGAAAGTGCACTAAGTGAGGCTGTACGGGAGTTACGGGAGAAGAGCTTACCAGTCAGGATGCAGTGTCATCCCTTCCAAGGACACTGCCAAGCACTGGAATATCCTGTAGCAGGAGGTCAGTCTGTACGCACAGTGGTCTTGTCTCCAGCCGGTATGGGTTGTGCTTCAGAGATCCCAGGTCTGCCTACACTCTCCATCAAAGTGTGTCCAGGCTTGTTCAGCAGTGCTGAAATAAAGGCAGGACATGGAAAAGGATAGACAGGCATCGAAATTGAGGTGAATATAGATTATAAATATAGGAGAAGTATGGCTGGAATGCATTTCTTCTTCCCATTGGCACATGATTATGCCACATTTCCTGCGTTCTGCTGCAGTATGGGTGTGTCTGATTTCATGTGTGTTTATTCCCAACAGGAGTGACTCCTGTGTTACTCGCCTGCGGAAGTGGATTATCCCGCGCCTTGTTTCCATTGTGGAGAATCCGAGTGTCAGGAAGGAAGAGGACATGGTGATGGATATTGCCAGGTCAGGTGTCTGCTTTGCAGAGAGCTGCTTGAAGTTCACCTGGACAGTCCTCTTAGTTTAATTGTCTATTGTCCGTATAATGTGTAGAAGATCTTTTCATATTTAGGTGCAGTGCCATACTGAAGTTTGAAGGCAATTTCTGCTTGAGATAGGAGAGAAAATATTTCTTGTATGCTTCTGTACATTTTCTGATCCGCTTACCCAGTACTGGGTGTGAGAGGGTGCCCGATACTATCCTGGCAAGCAGTGGCTACAAGGCAGGATACACCCTTGATGGGACGTCAGTCCATCGCAGGGTAAACACAGATACAAACACACACACACACACACTCATTCCAGGGCCAGTTTTACAGAAGCCAATTAACCATCGCAGCACCATGCTTCCACAAATATCCCTTTAATTCACTTATTAGTCCCTCTTGGTTTCTATGATTCTGCATTGGTGGAATATGCAGTCTTGCAAAATGTTCTGTGTCTTTGAAACATTTTCATTATTTTCTTTTTGATTGCTTCCTACCGTCAATCTTTGGTGGCTCTAGAAGAGAGTATGAGTGTTATTTTTGCTGTAGACGTCTGGCAGGGTTTTAATGTGTGCTTGAGCTTAAGCCTTGGTATGTTTATAGTACTGGGACTCCTCTCCTCCTTTCTGTGATCTCGATCTCCCTGTTCTAGCACGCTGCTCAGCTTCTGCCTGTGAGTGAGGCCGCCCTCTTGTATAAGTGATAAAGGCAAACCATCATTAACATGTCACTTTGTGGTTTTATCCAAAGAAAAGCTTTTCATGCATCACTTTAAGACTTGCGAGGGAGAGAGACCTGGGTGAGAAGCATATAGGGAAGGCTGAGGTGTTCAGCCATTTCCAAGCCTTATGGAAGATAATTTGGGCACAGACAAATTAGAGATAAATAGAGAGAGAGTCTATATTATCCCCGAGGGGCTAAGTTGTTATAGGAGGAATTGGGGGCACCCTGACTCCTCAACCCCCAGTAAAAGAGAGGTAGTGATAATGGGGGACTCAGTTGGCAGGCACCAACTGGCTGTATACTCTGCAGAAGCTCAGGGTGGCTTGTGTTGCATTGCCTTGCATTGTGTTGGCGGCCTGGTGCCCAGGTAGCCAGCCCGCCTTGAACAAGTGGTCAGGCTGCTGGTCAGTGCCAGAGTGGTTCACGCAGCTAGTCTTGAGGCTCGGACACCTGATTGTTTCTTTTTCCCCATCTCCTAGGTTTGTTTTCTTCCATTCTTTCTTTGATGCCAAGAAACCCACCCCCGACATCCCAGAGACAGAGGCCAAGTTTGCTGTGCCCTTGGACGAAACCATTCATGGGGTCTTCGCTAACTCATTTTTCGGGTAAGCTGTGGTCCTGGTCTGTGACAGAGCTGTCAGTCAGACGCTGTGTTCAGGGATTGGTGACTGAAGTCCTACAGACTAAACAGCTGAAACTGGGTCCTTCTTAAGTATCTTTCTCATGCAGCAGGCAGGAGAAATTACCTCGTACACACTTAACCTATCATACTGGAGTCAGTAGAACGGCAGGCTTTGTAATTGAGCTTGAATGGATCCCATTAAAATGAAACTGGATCATCAGTACAGGAAAGGGAATAAGCATAGTGTGACTGAAATACATTAGGGGAAGATGAGAACTGAATGGTTAGAATCTCCATTTCTTCTTGAGATTAAAGCATTTTCTTGTCGATGGAGTTTACTAGCAGAATCTGTATGTTACTCTGTACCCATATAGTGGTAGGAGCTGTGAACTCCTGCTGAATTCACGTGCTAAACTCTAACCTTCATGCTTGCTTTAGCACAGATGCTTCTCCCTCCCTGTACTAAACTCCCTCATGGGGAATGTTTACACTAGACTCCTGATGAGAAAGGAATGTTTTAAGTGCTTTCTGAGTCCTGGAGTTTCTTGAGAAAACCACCTCAAAGACAGGAGGAGGGTGTAGGGCAACATATATATTAGCTGCGTAGAGCCATATCCCCTTTGAACTACTATACCTACTATGGTCCTTATTGTGGTTCCTTGTATGCAAACAATAAAGCTTGGCTTGACGAACAGACACTTCAGGCTTGAATCTCTTCGTTTCTACGTTATGAACCAGCAGTTTAAGCCGAAACTGTTTCTTAGTTATTCCAGCAAGTCTTTTATGGTGGGATTATATTATGCTGCTTGTGTGCTGTTGTGCGCTGGAAGCCATTCCCTTTTCAGCCACTCTCATGGAAGTGCCCAACGTGCTATATGCTTATATTCCATCATCCCTGTATGCGTTCTGTGTCTGCAGGCTCCTCCAGCACCTCAACCACCTGCCTGTGCTGGGAGACTCGCCCGAGGTGGCTGCTCAGAACGAGAGACGCGTCACTGGGGTCACTGCTGATGGCACCCTGTGGATCGTCTGCCTGGTGCAGTATGCTGACACCCTGTTGAACCACAGCAAATACGTCAGGCATGTCAAGCCCTTCACAGACCAGCAGAGACAAGCCTGGAACAGGTATGGGGCAACCGACTGGATGACAAAAAGACTGGAAACATACATACATGCATGCAGAGTCTTATAAGATTTAAGGTAAAAGGCTAAAATTGCATAGGAAAAAAAGGTTAATTCCTATATATTGGGGTACTGTGCTATTTGATCTTTTGCTCCAGTGGTATTCCTAGGCAAATCTGAAAGGTTAGTGGCTAGTAGATTTGATGCAGGCAGTTCATGTAGTTTTTTTAATCCTTATGAATGTTTTGAGGCTGACAATTGTGGAACTAAAAGTGAATTCTACTTCTTAATTTTGTCCGTCACTGCTGGAGTGCTGAAGGGTTGGGATAGAGATGCCTGGTGTAAAATGTTTGCACTGTGCTTGGTTTCTGTTGTCCTTCAGGATGTTAGCATCTGTGGAGGCACTTCGTAAAAAGTCAAAGAAAGCCCAGAAAGTGGAGACCTCTGCCTTCCAGCAGCTGTTCCTTCTCGTGGGAATCTCTCTGTTTAAGGTAGACTGCTCACCGTTCACTGTGTGTAAAGCATGCGTAAAAAAACAAATAGAAAAAGGCTTATATCGCAACACTGTCAATAATAACGAACCGCTCCATTGACATGCTGTTGGTTGCTTTGTTTCAGAGCTCAGTTTAATGCTTGAGTATTAGAATGTGTGAAGTCTTACACTCTTTTTCTCTTACCACTTACCTCACCTAGAGCCAGGTCTCTAGTTGTAGTGCACCAACTCCTGAGTCAGTATGTCTGTCATTATTCCACTTAACTCTGAGTGGATCACAAAGCCCTTAAAGAAAGTGAGATTAACGCAGCAGAGGGCTGTTTCTGATGACAGTTAAAATACCAAGTAGTCTGTCCTGATGGTGACATCATCTGGGTGCAGGATACAATCACTGTCTGGATTTAAATTTGCTCTTTCTTGGCATCTTCCATTTTTATGTTTCATAAGCCTTAAACATTGAGCTCCAGTTCTGGGCTGGCTGTGAGAGGGGTTCGTCAACAGGTAGTGTGCGGTTGGCTCTGCACCAGGAGGGGCAGACAGTCTGATTACTCAGCCAGAGCCCTTGGCTCCAAGCAAAACTGCAGTTCTTGCTGCCACTGGTGCAGTGGTTGCCAACAGGCTTACAGTAATGCCAGTGAGGAAAGGTGCCCATCTCCAGCTGGTGCTGCATGGCTTGTAGCATGTGAAGAGATGAATGACTCTAAGGGTGGGCAGGTCAGAAGGCTTTGCACTTCCTTATGCTCCACATGTTAGGTGCAAGTGCTAGCACTCTGAGCCCAGATGTAAAGACCCCTCTGGCAATAAAGGGTTTTGAACATCAACTAAGGCCGCAAAGTCCTTATAGAATAGAATAGCGGAGCGGTGGCTCTGTGGCTCAGGATCTGCGCCTGTGGCAGGAAGGTTGCCAGTTCAAATCCCGAAGCCGGCAGAGGAATCCTACTCCGTTTGGCCCCTGAGCAAGGCCCTTCGCCCCAGCTGCTCCAGGGGTACCGTATAAATGGCTGACCTTGCGCTCTGACCCCAAGCGTCTCTCCCCGTCTTTGTCTCTCAAGCTGGTGTATGCGAAAACACAAATTCCTAATGCAAGAAATTGTATATGGCCAATAAAGTATTCTTATCTTATGTTGTCTTCTTGTAGTAGCGCACCACTTCCTAATACCAAAATTAGCATCTAAAACATAACAGAGAGAAGAAATGATGATAAAATATTTTCTAAAATTGTGGTTGCGTTCAGCTACATTAACGCTTGGATCTTGTACCAAATATTAATGGCATTTGTACTGTTACCGATTGACCTTGTTTTCTCAGTCAGTGGTATGGAATGCTTTTTCTAGGCTCCAGAAGAGTGTGCTGACCTGATTCAGGATCTGCAGAGCTGCCTGGAGAGAGCACAGGAGAAGACAAGCAAAAAGCAGAAGTCCACTGGTGAGTGCTGGTCCAGTTTCACGAAGGAAGGCAAAGTGGGGAAAAAGTGTGGCTTACGTTCAGAATAGGCACTATGTGCATATGTACCTTGGAAGAGTATTCACCCCCTCCCCCGTGCAGTTTTTCAGCATTATGTTGCTGTCTGAGTTTCCAATCACAATACTTCAAAATAGGGCTTTGTTTAAAGTTCACTCCAGTCTGATCAAAATAGAGCTGGATGAGTCCTGTAAGACACTTGCACATTTCTGGAGGTGTCATTTTGTGTGTCTTTTTGGAGTTTTGCTGATATTCAACCTCCTTTGCATACAAGCTTTAGATCATAACAGTTTAAAATGGAAGGTCAACTGAAAAGATATGCATTATCTGTAATTAATCCATCTTTGACATTGGCATGGATGAGTAGTTTCTTAAGGCACTGTGTGTCTTAACTGCAGGCATCATGCCAGCCTCAGTTGTGCTGCTATTGTGTGACGGTGCTGCACATCTCTAGGAGCTGGTGCCTCTGTGTTGCAGGAGCTGCGGAGGGGGCAGAGGAGCCCCAGTGGGTGGAGGTGCTGGTGGAGATCCTGCTCTCTCTGCTGTCGCAGCCGAGCCGCCTCATCAGACAGGTGTGCCGGCAGATGTTTGGGACGATCTGTCCCCACGTTACCCAGACAGCTCTGAAGGCCATCCTGAATGTGAGTATTTGGGGCACCTGCCACGAAATCTGCCAATGACAAAATCCGAAGTACATAACCGAGAGTTACTCTTCAAAATGTCAAGGCCATGCTTTTCCAGTGGCCTCCAGTTGTCCAGTTAAACAGAGCAGGGGAGGGTGTGGCCACCTGATTGGGGAGTTTTGGCTCCCCATGGTGGACACTGTAGTAACATCCTTGAGCAAACTAGTTAACTCCAATTGCTCATATCCACTCGGGTATACTGTGGGTACCAGATATACCTGCAGGAGTAACCCTATTGCACCATCCAGTTTGGACTCACACAGACGTAGCTCAGGTAATACAGTAGAAACCAGAATACGATCCTGATGGACCACACTTCACCAGATTGCACATTTTATTTAAGTTCCTTTGTATAAACAGTCCTTGGCCTCAGACAGCCTGTGAGGCATGCGTAGTGTGAGTGTGTTAGAAAAGAGGGGGGAATGCAGAGACAGGGTTTTGTAATTTTGAAGCTATGAGAAAGTAAAAGACACTGTTCTGTTGTCACCTGTATTGCCCTCTACTTCAGACATTTCATTTGCGTCTCGGAAGGAACCCTTTGCTCCAGTCCAGCCATGTCTGTTCTCTTCTTTGACCAAGAGCACGAGAGTGTGGAACTGCCTGTGGTGCTTTATAGTGGCTATTGAGTGAGAAATCGAACCGTGTTGCTCCAGGTCCTGGACCCAGAAGCCAGCGAGGAGGATAGCCTGGTGCTGGTGACAGATGAGAAAGCGTCTGGAAAGAAAGGCAAAACAGACCAGAAGACTGAGGAAGAAGAGGAGCATGAGGATCAAGAGGTAAGGGCCTCCAAAACGGGTACCCCAAGTCCATGACAAGGATTATTTCTATTCACCCCATCAGCCCATCTTTGGCTTCTAAACTCTGATATCCCTGTACTCATCACACATCACGTCAGGGACACTATACTGTAAACAGGCGCCATCCTTCGGATGAGATGTAAAACCAAGGTCCTGACTCTCTGTGGTCATTAAAAATCAAAGGGCATTTATCGAAAAGAGTAGGGGTGTAACCCCAGTGTCCTGGCCAAATTCCCCCCTGGCCTTTACCAATCATGGCCTCCTAATAATCCCCATCTCTGAACTGGCTTCATTACTCTGCTCTCCTCCCCACTGATCGCTGATGTTTGGTGAGCGTTCTGGCGCACTATGGCTGCCATCGCATCATCCAGGTGGTCCCCATTACCTGTAAAGCACTTTGAGTGGAGTGTCCAGAAGAGCGCTATATAAGTGTAAGCAATTAATTAAAAGCATATCCATTTTTAAAATAGCACCCGTTGGTTTTTTTTACCTCGTGACAAAATCCTTTTTAGCACACAGATCCCAGTGTAGTACCGTAGTACCTAGCCTTGATGAGTGTTATCTTCAGGATGAAGAGGACTCTGATTCTTCTGATAATGACTCTGAGGAAGAGGAAGAGGAGGAGGAACAGGTTGTAGATGACAACTTCCGTCTGCAGCTCATGAAGGTCCTACAGGGTCAGAATGCCCTGGTGAGTTCTCTCTGAATACAATTCAAAACTATTGTTAGATAATTATTTACATAATCATTAGATTACTTTCAAGATGTTTAAGGTGAGTACAGTTTGGAAACTTCAGTAAATTGTCTGGTTTATTGCAGGTTCTTGTGCAGGCTACTTGCTTGAGTTAGTCTCTTCTCAGCACTGCACACTGTTTTATTATGCTTTTAGTCCTCGATTCTGTTTGACAGCGGATAATAACAAAGCTACCAGACGTGTTTGACGTGTTTCAGTTTTGCTGGAGGAGCAGCTGGGGAATGCTGTCTTCTCAGCAAACATCAGGAATCAGGTGTTGTCACCATAGGCAACAGAGGAGGACGGAAACGAGGAGGAGGATGTGGACGACGAGACCATGATGAAGCTGGACCACAGCATCGCAGCACTCTTCTCCGAGCACAAGAAGCGGATCCAGGCCAAGAAGGACCAGAAGGAGAGGCTGAGGAAGGAGAAGAACCTGGTCAGAGACTTCAAGATCAAGGTACCGGCTGCATCCGCCCAGAGCTGTACGTGTAAACTGACCAATTTTTTCTTTACAAAAATAAAAGTAACTGTTGCCCACCTCAATCGAGCCACCTTCACCCAGTCTCCCCAGCATTGGGTTCCACCTGAAATACAGATTCTTTCAGGGAAATCCAGCAGCACCCTGAGCCTCCAGCTCCCCCCCCCCGGGCACCATGGACCCAAGCAGTGGGAAATTCCACATATATCAGATAAGATCACAGATCACTTGGCCATATTCAATTTCTTGCATTAGGAGTTCGTCTTTCCACATACCCCAGCTTGCTCTCCACGAGACACACAGACATGGAGAGAGAAGCTGGGGGTCAGAGCGCAGGGTCAGCCATAGTACAGCGCCCCTGGAGCAGCTGGGGTTAAGGGCCTTGCTCAGGGGCCCGACGGAGTAGGATTCCTCTGCCGGCTGTGGGATTGGAACCGGCAACCTTCCAGCCACAGACACAGATCCTTAGCCACAGTGCTACCGCTCTGCCAAAATTTCCCCCCTTGGCCCTTAACCATTTGACCAATTTGGCCTCCAAATTGTCCCCATGTATGATTGGCTTGCACTTGCCCGTCGATGGACTGGTGTCCAGTCCAGGGTGTACCCTGCCTTGCTCTTTTTGCTTGCTGGATAGACTCCGGCTTCACCTTGACCCTCACCAAGAAAAGTGAGATGGAGATTTTTCAATGGCGGTGAGAATCAAAAAGCCCTGTTTAGTGGTCTTTCCTTCAGGTTGGGTTTGTGTAACTGCAGTCTATCAGGTGTGTGACTGTGTCATCCCTGCAGGTGTTGGACCTCGTGGAGGTGTTCCTCTCGAAACAACCAGAGAGCCCGCTGGTGTTCGGCATCATTGAGCCTCTGCTGAACGTCATCCAGGCTGGCATGAGCTCCGAGTCCAACCAGCAGGAGCAGGACTTTCTCCGCAAGACCGCAGACATCTTCAGGTGGTGCACAGTGGCCAAGCCGCCTCTGCTTCACAATTACTGACCTTCACTGCGGAGGAGACAAAGAATAGACATGATTGACAAATGAGGCATAAGACCTTTAACACTCTGTATTTTGTGCACACAGGAACCAGCTGTGCAATAAAAAGCGCTACTGCAAGAGTGCATCGCACATGGGTGAGGAGCTCCACAGCATGATGGAGAGACTGCTGGCCAAGGCCCAGCGGCAGCCCGACTCCTCTGTCTCTCTCTACTACTTCAGGTAGGCAGGTAGACGTCCATCGGCTTTCACAGTCACAGCCTCCACGCTGTGCCCCATGATGATGAGTGCAAATACTCCGTTTGATTTGAAGGATTGGAATCTGTGAAGCGGTTTGGTGTGTTGTTCAGTATTCATAGTCGGTTTGCAAACGCACACACACATGGAAATGTGCCTTTCCATTTCCTTTCAAATTGCACATAGGCTATTATAGGTTATTCCATATCCATTATACAGAACAATATATAAAGCAAGCAGGGGAGATTTAGTTCAGATTGTGAAAATGATTTGGTTAGGATCCTCAAACCGAAAGAAAAACTTGGCATCCAGCATTATTTGGAATTTAATATTATTAAATGTTTATCCATAAGTGATGCTTATTGGCATTATACATCTTGAAGTAAATAACAATATTGAGAAAGGTGTTTTAGGGGAAAGTGGTGACCAAATCACTTCGCATCGCTTCTCAGTGCAAAATAGAAGTTACAAAGTGTTCAGAAGTAGTCACAAGCTAATCAGCCCTAGGTGTGGATATTATAAGCTTAATTATCTTACTAAACATATATTTTTAACTCTTAAAAATAGGAGTAGTTACAGACTTCTGTTAATTTAAATGAACAGGTATTTTTGAATATTGAAAAGTTAGCTTTTTCAGAGTTATGAGTAGACGCTCAGTCAGTAGATTAAGACTACGAGACTGCTACCAGAGAATGTATTTCACAGAATATCGGCTAGTGTACAGTGTGGGTGCCTTCTTTCTTTTATTAAATGGAGAGATCGATAATCAATGTTGCGTGAATAAAATCAATAATCGTTCGTGCTCTTTTGTAATCCAGAAAGGTTGGGTTCTGTGAGTTTTATGTGACCTGAATTTTAGCCGTTGCCTGAGCACATACAGAGAATCACCATTGCTCCAGAAGGCACTTGCTGCACATCTGCATACAACAAACACAACACATAGCACAGGCTGGCTGAACTGCTGCACATGGTGGCTATCAATAGTATTCACCCCTTTGGACTTTTTTTTACATTGCATGGTGTTTCAATATGGAATCATAATGTATTTAACCGGGAGCTATTGTCAGTGGTTGAAAGGAAACACTCTCTGTAAAGTGTCAAAATGAAAACAGAATTGTACAGATCCTCCTAAATGCACAGAAAATAAGTGATTGCTTATGTATTCACCTTTTCACCTTTTTTTTACCATGCCACATCTTAATAGGCTCTGGTGCAACCTAACGTCTTTAGAAGTCATAGAATGTGTTGAATGGTGTCCACCTGTGTGCAATTAGGGTGTTTTACATGAGTTCAGGATAAATATACCTGGCGAAAAATCCCTCATAGATACGTATGATTCTGTATTGTAACCTATTTAAATGTCCAAGGGGGTGAATACTTTTAACAGCCACTGTGCAACACAACAAAACAACACATAACACAAGCTTGCTACTGTATACAACAAAACTGCTAGTCAAGTAACACAACTGCATAGTGCTGCTTGTTGCACTCCTGTTACAGGTGAGACAAGCTTGCCTAGAAACCATTATGGGACTCATAGGTTATTTTTGCAGCTGGGGAGGGAGTGTATTTCCTCACAACAATTCTACCTCTGTTACTCTGTGAGAGTGGGGAGGGGCTGCAAACCTGCTTTTCAGAAATATTTGATTTTATACCAAACACAGTGTGCTCTACTTAATAGCTACCTAAGCGTCTTAAAAGCACAGAGTGTAAGTGGACGATTTTGTTACAAGAAGCACAAGTACTGAAATTGTAACAGCTTACACTGACAGTAATGAAAGGATTTGACACAACAGTCCCATGTATGCGACACCAGCCAGATTCTTTAACTGAAGCCCATGGGGGGTTGAGGAACTGTGGTGAGAAAGATCCTTAGCCACATTTACCTGGTTGACTTCCTTATACCAAATATAATATCTGACCACATAAAGGTGTTAATTCCCTATTTCAAAGGAATCGGAACAATTTTAGAAGCCACACTCGCTAATGTAGTCTGTGTTTTCACATGCTCTGGGCACCGCTAGTAAAATAATTTTCAGCATTTGTATTTTTTAACAAAAAGTACTGGCTTGCATTTTAAAATGTAATTTTTTGAGGTTTTAGCTTCCTATTTTCAAAGTATGAACATGTTGCTTTTCCTTTTTGTTTCAGTGGCGTGCTGTACCTGGTTCGAGTCCTGAGGGGGAATGATCCCTCTTCAACAGTGCCCCCTGGTGGTAAACCTGAAAAGCAGACTGCTGCAAGAGAGTCTAAGACTGTTGATGAAGTAGGTGATGCCCACAGGGCCACAGTGTTGTGCAACTGGTGATTTATTTTTTCCATCTCATCTCTTTAAACTTAAATTTGACAAATCGTTTCCCAGTTAAGAACACTAAACCTCTGCTGATTGCTAAACAGGATGGCAGAACTTTTTCAGTTCACTTCACAGCCACTGAATGTTTTGCCTTTATAGGTGCTGATCCATCATCTTAGAATCTGTTTAACTTGCATTTCAGTCCTGTAGTATATCAGGTTACAAATGTGCAGAAGTATTTTGTGCTTGAAATGCGTCATAACAAATAACAATCACAGTGTGCCAGTGTTTAACATAAACCAAAGGTTGCACTGGTGGCCACACTATGTTTTAGTCAAGCTTCAGGAGTCTAACAGGTGCAGTTTCAGCGCCCGGTTGTGTTAGCGTCTGTGGGAGTTGGGCAGAGCTAGTGCTCACAGATGCGGGTCTCTTTCAGCCCCTGGACACCGGCTGTCTGGATGTCGAGAGGGTGAGTGCTTGCTTCAGAGAGGCCCTCGATACCTTCATGACCAGGAGGAAGAGCCCTCTGACAGGATCCATGTTCGTTGACGTCGCCACCAGATTCCCCGTGAGTATCCCTGCGTGGCTGGATCTGTGGTAATGGTACGAGTGTAGCTGCTAGAAGCAGATCAGTTACCAACATAAACATGCCGGAATGTTGTTTTTAGGCTGTACAATTGCAGCTGTTAGTTTCCACATATTTGCTAGACCACTCTTATAAAGAGGTCCACTGGTCTCTAGGATTTTCTCTCGTTAAAAAGTTAAGACCCACGAAAATAATGGTCGGATAAAGTATTGGTTAGACCTCGATTGGAAAAATTATGTTCAGGTTTTTATTTCCTTTGAATTTTTTACTTCTGTCATGAGAGGTGAGATGTGAAATGCAGTTTTACATAGCGTCCCTCAAGCAGTAGAACAGCCAGCGGGCAGACTCAGGAATGTCTCTGACCTGCTGGCTGGCTCTTCATAGGCCCGTTTTACAGCTTGATCTGTCCTCCCAGGTAATAGCACACCTTGGATTTACTGAATGATTTTGTTCGTAATGTTGTTTGTTTGTGTCCTCCTCTTCTGTATGGTCTGATTTCCCGAATAACCCCAAATGTGGTAGAAAATGTCCAGGAGTCCTGTAAACTCAAGTTCCTCCTCCAGATCTTCCAAACTCTCTCGTGGTCTTACCTCTCTCTCAGCAGTTTGTGATTTACTGTGTCATCTGAACTGCAGTCTAGATTATTGCTCTCCCATCTGTGGTGAGAGGACATGCTGGAGAGAGTGTCTCCCTCTCCTGTCAGCCTCGGTCCAGCAAACTGCTCCTGTCCCCCAGCAGCACACGTCTGCATAACTGGCCCAGGCAGACAGCCTGGCCTGCAAGCCCCCAATGCTCAGAATTTGTTATGACCTCAGTACAGCCTCCTGTTAGTCACAGTCCAGCTCTAGGAAAAACTCCTAATTGAAGAGCTCTTACTCTTTGTCCATCCTTGCCTAGTCCATTCAGGAGCACCTCTGCATACTAAACATTATTGACTCAGTTTGAAACCACAGTGGTAGATTCTCATATTGTCAACATTTTGTATTAGTATAGTATGTTAATACCTGTTAATATTTATTTGGGAAATATTTATTTTGAAATTCAGGAATTGTTTTGAAAGCAAATTAAGGGTTACCTGCCTCCTGCTGGGTAGTTTTTCCCAACAGCAGCGTAAGTGTGCTGAATGAGCTATGGGTTGAAGTTTTAACCGACCTCTGTTTTGAGGTTAGGCATGTTTGCCCTTTCAACGTTATTTACTACTGATCAGGGCTGTAAATGAAAGAAGATGGATACATGGTGACAGGCTAGCTTTCACTAAGCGTGGTCCAGTGTGCTGTGAGACCAGGATGAGTGCAGGTCTCCTGCTGCTGCTCTAATCCTCAGAACCGCCTTGGGAAAGTTCAGGTGGTTCATCTTCTTCACCTGTCGGGCAGCTGAGGACCTTTTTAGAACCCTGTTTGGCGAGTGCGGGGGGTTTCAGAACCGAACCTCTCCAATATAGTTTATAATTTGATTATATCTTTCCTTAACATAATTTTTATCGGAACAAGTAAAGGTTTATTCCCTGCCAAAAAGATACACGACGTTTCAGCTTTGGAGCCTCCTTCGAGTGGCTCCATAACATAATTTTTGCAAAAACATTGAATTTGGGTGGAGGCTTGATGCATGTGAACTCACTTTGTATTTGTGTGAAGTGTAGGGACTGTGGCTCGTCCTGGCTTGGTGCTGATGAGATATGTGCAGCTCAGCTTGAGGGTTTGGTGTGGTCTTAGGCATCCAGCTTTAAATCTTGGAATGTTATTATAACTTTTCCAATGTGTCAGCTGCATGGAAAGCCACCTCTGTCCTGCACCGCAGATGTTTCTTAAAGCTGGCCTGAAAGTATGCCACCTTCTCCGTGTGCTCAGACACTGCCCCTGCAGGAGTGGAGAGACTTTGCCGGGATCCGTAGCCGACGCTGCAGTGTGTGTGACTGGTTGTTTCCTTGCTGTGCAGGTGCTGGGTGTCCGGCTGCTGGACGGTGCGCTGAAGTACATCACAGGTGGAGTGCGGCACCATCAGCAGGTGAGCTCTCGGGGGGTCTTTTAAGATTTCCCCTCTTACAGAGGTCAGAGTCAGTGCAGTGTTCTTACGTGTTTGAAGAGCAAAACCGTCTGATGAGCCAATAAGAACAGGATCTACTGTAGCACCGCCTCTCTAGTTTATTTTGTACAAAATGAGGGGAGGCTTACATAGGTTGATTAATCACAGAATCCATACATTCTATGAGAGCTGGCTTCCTCCCCCTTCATGTTGTTCAAGGGCTATTTGAACATGTTGCCTTTGTTCAAATAGCTTAGGTGCCTTTAACACCATCAATCCACCTTTACGGAGAGATAAGCTAAGGGCGGCACAGGTGGACACTCCCCTGCTGTCCTGGATTATAGACCAGGACCACAGTATGTACGGCTACAGAGCTGTGTGTCCGAACAGGTTGTTAGCAGTACTGGAGCTCCACAGGGGACTGTCCTTGCTCCATTCCTGTTCACCTTTTACACCTCTGACTTCAGGTACAACTCTGAGACATGTCATCTGCAGAAGTATTCGGATGACTCTGCAATTGTGGGGTGTATTAGAGAGGGGAGGGAAGAGTAATATAGGAGCTTGGTTACCAATTTTGTGGAGTGGTCTCATCTTAACCATCTCCAGCTTAACACCAGCAAGACCAAAGAAATTATCTTTGACTTTCGAAGGAATAAGCCTCCGCTGAACCCTGTTTCCATCCAGGCAGAGGACATAGAGGGCGTACATTCCTACAAGTACTTAGGGGTACACCTGGATGATAAGCTGGAGTGGTCTGGTAACACTGATGCCCTATACAAGAAGGGTCAGAGCCAACTCTATTTTCTTAGGAGACTCAGGTCCTTTGGTGTGTGTGGAACACTGCTACACATTTTTTATGAATCAGTGGTGGCGGCGGCCATCTTCTACGCTGTGGTGTGCTGGGACAGCAGCATTATGACAAAAGATGCAAATAGGCTCAATAAACTCATCAAGAAGGCTGGCACTGTGCTGGGGATGAGCCTTGACCCCATGGAGGTGGTGGCTGAGAGGAGAATGCTGACCAAGCTCACAGCCATCATGAACAACACCTCTCATCCACTTCATGGGACTGTTACTGGGCAGCGGAGCACATTTAGCAATAGACTGCTCCAGCTACCTGTTCAAGGGAACGTTTCCGCAGGTCTTTCCTCCCAGCGGCTGTCAGGGTGTATAACGATGCCCTTGGCTAGGACTTTTAGCTCTTGATGTGCTCCTCTATGGACAGCATGTTTACTCCATTGTACTTTTTGGACAATCAGTCTGTATAAACCTATGCACATTTTGCACATATTTTATTGTTTTTACAGTGACTATGATCAGCACATTTTGCACACACCTATGTATTTATTTTTATTTATCTTGTTTGTCTTTTGTTTTATAACTATTCTGATGTCTGTTTTGCTTGTCTTGGGCTGGACTGCTGTAACACATCAATTTCCCTATGGGATTAATAAAGTATTATCTATCTATTTGCATCCATCCTGGTATGGGGTCCAGCTCTCCATAGTCCACTTTATTACAGAGACAGGGGTGGCTCTCATGTTGGGCTGGGATAAATGATAAGAGAAGATCACTTTATTGGCCATATACAATTTCTTGTATTAGGAATTTGTCTTTTCGCAGACCCCAGCGTGCTCTCCATGAAACACACAGGCAGGGAGAGAAGCTTGGGGTCAGAGCGCAGGGTCAACCATTCATACAGCACCCCTGGAGCAGCTGGGGTGAAGGGCTTTCTTTCATAGAAATATAGTCTTTTCCGTGTGTAACAGAGAAGTCTCCAATACATACATTTCCTTTGACTACCAGAACAGTAATCTGAGCAGAGCTCTTGTTCTTTTTTTTTGTTCGCCAAAATCACTCAAATGTGAACAAGTAAATATTTACAGCAGCACTTTAATATCTTTAGATATCTTAAGATCTCGCCATGTGTGAAGTGTACAGAACTGTGCTAGAATTGGCTTTTTTTGGAAGGTCAGGGAAGAACCTAAATCAGCCAGGGACAGCAGGAACACATCACCTCTTTCATGTTTTTAGGCCATTCAAGAACAAATTGTCTTTTGGAAAGTGGTATCTTCAAGGTAAAGACATTTGTGGAATTAGCTGCTTTAAAAACTCCACAATTCAATTTCTTAAACAGAATCATGCGTGTTTTCACTTTTTTTTGGTGTTCTCATAACTGGTAAAGGAAAAAAGGCTTTCGTAATGCTCGTAACATTGATGTCTGAACGTGGTTGGTCTTTGTGTTCAAGGGACAGGCCTGTACGCTGGTGTTGAGGACCCTCCAGAAACCAGAGGTCAGAAAATTGCTGACAGACTCTGAGTTTCCCCCCCTGATTCGGCGAGCCACTCTCCAGGTGACAGAGGTAGGCACAAAACTGGGCTTTTCCCTCCAAAAAGAATTGTGGGGTATTTGGAAACTGCAGGCGTTATTTTACACACTGGTAATGAGTGAATTGAGTCTTTCTGTCTGACTAGCCTTCTGTGCGGACTGTAGCACTCTTCAGAACTGAAGAATGTCAGAAAGGCCTGCCAATGAGGGGGTAGTTCAGCCCACCTTGCTCATTTAACGTTCAATTAGTAGAACAATTAACATAAAATTGGCTCCAGGTGTTTCTTTAAGGTGCTCAGAATGAGGGCCTCAGTCACTTCCCGAGCAGCCATCTCTAGACACCACCATTTCCTGTTCTCTCTTCTGAGTGAATTTCCCTTAGTTATATAATAATTAGCCCATGTCCTCACTTGACTATTGTAGAAATAACCCCTTGCATAAGCCCATCTATACCCCATGGGATTGTGTGTACCTAAATCAAATCTCCAGGGTCCTGCACTAAAGAGAATTAGCTCCCTCATTCTGTCCAACTATTACAATCCTGAGAACTATGACAATCCTGAGGAATCAATTTTATTGCTCTTCTTTAAACTCTTCCTAAGGCTAACATTTTTAAATGAGAAATCATAGCATGATTTTCAGCCCACGTGGAGTAAGGCCCAGCAGTGTGGTACAGAATGGTGTTAAATGCTGCAGAGCAGAATCTGTACTTTCAGACTTGTTTCAGTTTTAGCCATCCCTGTGCCACTATTCATTTTCAAGCCCCCAGGAATAAACCTGTCCTTCTGCATTCTCTCAGAGTCTGAAAACGGTAACAGAACTCAAGAAGAAGGTGGACCAGGAGAAAGTGTTGAAGACCCTGGAGCTCACTCTGTTCCTCGTAAGGACTATTCAGCAGCAGGTAAGACTAGAGAAAACTGAAGCATTTTCGGACAAACAGCACTCTTCTGATGGTTTGTTGTCTAAGTAGGAGCTACTGGGTAAATTAATCCTTAGTTTCGGAACCTTTTTACAATAACTATATATTGAGTTTGGAAATCTAATATCCATCTAAGGTCTAATATTTTATAACCGTAGTTGCAGCTGATGTCAGTGGCAGAATGAGAATTACTCATTTTGAATTCTCGCATAGAGCACAGTGGTTTTTCTACAGGCTTCTTATAAACCTGTTTGTTTTTTATTTAAACTAGTAATGAATTGTGAAATCTCCCTATAGTGAATTAAATTTTACTTTTGCAAGTGCAAGTTAATCCAAACACTTGTGGTTCTGAACTGCAGGAAATAATGTTCGAAAAGGGTTCTGTTTTTTTTTCTGGTTTCTTCCTTGTCCTTATCAAGACAATGCAAAAAAGTAATGTAGAAACCAAAAGGTTCGAGCCTGAAGTGTCCGTTCGTCAAGCCAAGCTTTATTGTATGTTATTGCTATCTTTCTTGTTTAACAACCAAATAAAATTAATTTCCTGCATTGTGGAGACCCACCATTTCTAGTTCATTGTTGAGAAGTTTCCCATCATTATCTTGGATACATTTGACTTTGTCTTTTTCTATTATATAATATTAATAGAACTCTTTATTTAACTTTCATTGCAATATTCCTTTCTCTCTCCCATAGCCTTTATCATTCCCTCTTAACTTGACTTTTCTATTTATTATACTCCTTTTCAAGAACTGGATCCTATTCCTTTCAGTCTGTTCATAAAGTGTGTTCTTCCTCCTAGGTATTTGTATTCACATGGTGATTTCTTATCAGTATAAAAGATTATTTATTAAATTGTGTTTTCTGTTTTTATTTTTTAATGATTGAATATCATATCAGAATCTTGTCCCTTTCTTCTACTTAAACTTTCATTATTTTATAGCCCACTGTCCTGAAATAGTAAACTGTTGATTTGTACTCTTAACTTTACAGTTTCAAAGTATACGTCAAAGCAAAGCATATATGAATACTCTGTGATGTTGCAATTCTCCCCTTTCTTCCATCTGCCTCTTTCCCCTTTTTAAATCTAATTGCATCATAAGAAGTAAATGCTCTTGCTTTAGCATGTGATTGTGTTGGTCCTGGCATTATAAGCTACTTAAAAGCAGGTCCTTTGACGTTTCAGTTTTCCCTTGTGTTCCATTTTTGACTTTACTGCCTGCCAGATTCGCTTTGGATTCCACCCTTTCCATTCTAGTTCAAATGTTTTCCCAAGATCTTTTTAAAAGTGACAAGTCCATCAAGAAATACTGCTGAATTCAAGCTTAAATAGTTTTTTCCCCCACTAGATCCCTAAGAGCTATTTGCACAGCGATTAAACCTAAAAGAAGGAGGCTGTTTGCTCATTCTGTATCATCTTTTTTTTTTCTTCACACCCACAATCAAAACATGTGAGGAGTGTCAGAATTCACTGCTCCTGCATGTTTCTGGCTCACCCGGAGTGTGTAATCCGTTTTTCCTGACTTTGTAGAAGCTGCCTGTGAGCCTGTCGCAGCTGGAGTTCGTGATGCAGCCCCTCTACCAGCTGGAGGGCTTCCGGAGAACTGGGCAGCTGGAGGACACCTACTGGAATGTGATGAAACTGCTGGGAGTCCCGTAAGTTCCTGTTTTAGCTCCTCATCTGCAATAGATCTCCGTAACTTGGCAGGTCTATACGGTTCTGTACATTCCTGCAAAGATACCAGACTTTTTGGTGACGTTTTATTTTAGGGGTTGTGAATCACACTTTATGAGAGCTTCACAGGTGAGATGTTCACACTGAAGTAGCCATTAATAAAGTATTTCTGAATGTCGGATGCGTCTTCAGTTAATAACCCTAAAAGTAATCATTAGTAACGGTCTCTTTTTACCAGTGCCACTAAACAGCCTGGTTTAATGACACTGCACAAATGTTCTCTCTGTGTGTATGGAGTATAAGGGGTTCAAACAGGAATCTTCAGCTTTGTTTGTTTGAGTTCTTTGATTGAACACTTTAAAAGCATTTAGTAATATTCACTGATTTTGGTCAGGAGACTAAAGGTTATATTCAGCTTGATGAGAGGAGACAGAGGTTAGCAACCAATACCGTGCCATTGAAGTTGAGGAGCTATTGCCGAGAGTAAAGCAGAAGACACCCAGGCTCTCAGGACTGAAGTTGCAGTCCATGAGTGTTACAGCCCTCATGATGATGATGATGAGCAGGTGTGGTCCCCCACAGTGAAGTGTGTCTTCCCATCTCCCCTTTCCCTCCGCCTCGCTGGTGCCGGTGTCAGGGCGGCATCCTCGTGCGGTCCCCGTCTGGGACATCGGTGTTGGCCGCTGTTTCCGTGACGATCACTCTTCCTCTCTTTTTTACAGAAAGCCAAAAGTGGAGAAGGTCAAGAAACCTGAGGAGGAGAAACAGCCACAGGCTGCTCCGAAAAAGAAGAAAGGCTTCCTGCCTGAAACCAAAAAGCGTAAAAATCGCAAGAAGGCCCCTGGTGAAGAAGGGAGAGGGCAGCCCCCGAAGGACAGCAGCGACGCTGTGGAGAAGGAGGGCAAGTCCAGGAAGAGGAAGCAGGTGGACAAAAAGAGGAAGCAGGCTGGAGGAGGGGGGCCTCGCCCGTCTCCCCCCAAAAATGCAAAACTAGAACCAGCCCCCAAAAAGCAAAAGAAGAAGACAAAGAAAATGGGAGGGAATGAATAAAGAAAACAGTCCTTATGAGGACTGATCAATCGGACTGGACCTGGACTTGGCTAACTGATCAGTTTCAGCACCATTAACTTCTGCTTTGCCTCCCATTCATCATCATTTCTGGCTTGACCTAAAGAGTGAAATTTTCCCTCATGGGTTCATAATTGTCATGAATGGAGGTGCTCAGGCCAGTAGTTTTACTCCTGTGTAAAACTACTATTTTAATTCTCCTTTCTGTATGCTAAAAAGGAATTTGGCTTTGAATTTGGTTTCCCAGTTCTAGAATATATCCATAAAATGATGTCAGCTTCTCAGTCGGTATTAATTAATTTTACTATTGGGATCTCTGGTATACCCCCCCTTCCCAACAGCCTTTGGTCTGTTGTGTCCACATTGTGTGGGCCCCTGTGTCATGTTCTGCTGTGGTTCTGAGCCAAGCAAGTGATGATAACTCCTTTCATTTACACGGCACTCAGGATCCCATAGGATAAGGATCTCACTGTGTTTCAAATATAAGTGCAGTATTGATCAGCTATTCACTATTTTTGTCAGTAATTAGAAGGTGTAAACAAGTGAAATATGTTGTTGATTCAAAGTGTCATTTTTGGTCCAATATAATAGTGAGCAGCTGATCACTGTCAGGTTGAAAGTGCTTGAGCACTATCCTCCAGTTCTTATCTCAGAAAGGGTATAAGGTGGAATTTGCCAGTAAACATATTTCAGTTTGAAGCAGTTTTGAAATTCTGGCCTGACATCAAATGGTCCCGTTCAACGCCGGGCAATATAGCTGCATGAATATATTTATCTTGTAAATATTGATCTAACTGAATGTAGTCCCAAATTTTCTGCCACTGGTGGAGTCGGAGAAGCGCTGAAGTTCAGTAACAGGTTTTGCGAGCTGATACTCCACGTCAGTCTGCTGTCAGAGCAGCAGCAGTGTCTTGAGCTGGGAGGGAGGTGGTGGAGAAGATCGGCGGACACCTGCGTGAGCTCGTTCACTGCCTCAGCGTCGCATCCGAGTAGATGTCGGAAAATCGCCGTCCAGAACTTGAGACGGTGTTGATCTGTAAAAGTCCTGCATCACATTTCCTTTCATTCTCTCCTCGCCAAACTGATTGTTTTTAAATTTAATAACTTTGTATTGCTAAATGTTTTTGGGTTTTTTTGTAGTCATGCTTTATGCCTGATAAGCTCAAATTGCCATCTGCCAGTTGGCCTGTCTGACAGTAGCTAATTGATCCAAGGATCTGATTCAGTGTCCTTGAAGAAACTAGGGAATCGGTTATCTACGTGGCTGTGGGTAGCTTGCTCCAAACTCCTACAACCCTTTGTGTAAAGAAGTGCCTCCTGATTTCTCATTGAAATATATTTCAAATTAATATCCACTATCTTGAGGGCAGAGTGGTGGCACTGTGGTTAAGGATCTGCGCCTGTGGCTGGAAGGTTGCCGGTTCAAATCCCAAGGCTGCTCCGTTGGGCCCCTGCGCAAGGGCCTTAACCCCAACTACTCCACGGGTACCGTATAAATGGCTGACCCTGTGCTCTGACCTCAAGCTTCTCTCCCTGTCTGTGTGTCTCATGGAGAGCAAGCTGGGGTATGCAACAAGACAAATTCCTAATAAAAAATTGTATATGGCCAATAAAGTGATCTTATCTTCTATCATCTTGGTTTACCCATTGTAAATTGTATTTGTACTTGCCCTTAAGTAGAGTTAGACGTCTGTTTTAATTTTTAAAACACATTTCCAGTGAGGGTGGCAGGATGACGCAGTGGTTAGCGTTGCAGCAATGGGGCCCTGGCTTCAATGTTGCACTCGGGTTGCTGTCTGTGTGGAGTTTGTATGTTCTCCCTGCATTTGCCTAGATTTCCTCCTGCTCCTCCAGTTTCTTCCCACAGTGCAAAGACATACTGGTAGGTTAATGGGCTTCTGGTAGGTTAATTTGCCCTGGTGTACGTCTGTGCCTGTACAGTATGTGCCCTGCAGTGGACTGGTGTCTTGTCCAGGGTGTATCCTGCCTTGTGCTCTTTCTTTGCCGGGTTAGGTTCTGGTGACCCTGTTCAGGATGAAACAGAAAATGGATATATACTATAATTCCAAAAGAGACTGTGCTGGATGCTGGCAACCTATTGAGCAGGTATCGACTGTGCCCCCTGCTCCAGTCTATATAAGTCAAAACACATCAGAATACATACAGTGCCGAACAAAAGCATTCCCCCCTTGGACTTTTTCCACATTTGGCTGTGTTACAATCAAATGTGTTGTATTTTTTTTCCATTGATCAAGAAAAGTAATTATTTTCAAATTGAAAACAGTACGCTATATGTCCTCCTAAATTAATTATAAATATAAAACAAAATGAGTGATAACTTAGCATTCACCCCATAAAACACCCCTAAATAGGCTCTGGTGTAACCAAAGGTCTTAAGAAGTCATGTAATTTGTTGAATAGAGTCCAACTATCCAATTAGGGTGTTTCACGTGAGTTCAGGATAGATATACCCATCTCTGTGAAGTCCCACAGTTGGTTAGTACAGCTCCCAACAAAATCTACTACTTGACAGTACCTTCAGCGTAAATCTGGGACAGGGTTATTGAAAAGCACCAATCGGGAAGGGTAGAAGATTATTTCCAAGGTTTTATATCCCCAAAAGCACAGTACAGTCCATGATAAAGAAATGTATAAGATATGGTTAAACTGAAGAACAGGGTGTCCTCAAAAACTAAGTATCCAGGTGAGAAGAGCACTAGTCAGGGAGGCCACCAAGAGCCCAGTGACAGCTCTACAGGAAATATTCTGAAATAGTCTCCCATGGCTGAAGTGGGAGAAGCAGTGCTTGCTAATTCTTCATGAATTGAAGACTTGTGAAGATAGAAAAATGGACATAGCGAACTACAGAGAACTGCAGACTGTCACACCAGACGCACTGCCAAGGCAGATCTGAAGTAGTGTGCTCCACCTGTGAGGAGCGCTATAGTAAATTGTGCACAGGTGGCAAAGGCTTCCTGTGTGCTTATGTAACCATGGCAACTGACGCTGCCTGACAGGCAGGGAAGGTGAGTGGCCAGCTGCCATTGCAGAGCTGCACCATGGCTCTCCAGCCAGCTCAAGCGTGACACCTACAGTTCTGTTCCACATGAGTAGTGCTGTGTCCTTGAATTTAATCAAATCTGTGCTTTGATTTAGGTCTTTTCTGGCAGAAGCTGGGAGAAGACTTTATGGCATTAGACCAATCGGCAGGACTGTGTAAAACCCAGAACAGCTTCTTTGTCTTGATCTTATTTTGGTTTAATTTTGACTTTTGCTTCTCTTGCTTTGTTTTACGTTGTGAAGTGGCCCAAACTCTGTGGATGTACATAGGCACTAAAATAGTTTTTAAATGGTATCTGGCTGGACAATTTCCAACAACATACCACTAGAGGTCAGTGTAGGCTTCTGTTATCTGTGAATTAGCTCACTGGCTGGTGGTAATGGATAAGGTTGCTGGTAAGGGGTGTTTAAGTACATTCTCACTTGGGCCTAAATAAGGGTTTGTTATATAAAGGGTGTGTGTGGTGAGAATTGTTTTAGAAAAGCTGTATTAGACTGAGTTCCCAGTGTCCTGGCAGAATCAGTCATTTTGTGCCATGATAATTGCCTGGGTGCAGGTTTTGTGCTCCTTACATCAAGTTACGTGTCTTTGTGCGTTGGCCTTGGATACAAGTGGTTTCCAAATGGCAGCCCTGCCATAAATTTCAGCTTTGTGAACCTCACGACGTACAGTTTTTGTTGAGACTGGGTCACAGAGGTGCTGATTCAATTCTGTGGTCATTTTTGAGGCTGCACTTTTGTGGCATTTAGCAACTATCCTGTGAAGTGTCCATCTATCCCTGTCGGTGAGCTACGACTTGCGATCACTGTTCCTCTTTGCTGATACAGTTTGTCCATGTTTGGCATCTGCTGTCTATTTTTGAGACACTTCCCATTATTTTATCCACCCCCCTGTATATGCTTCACTTTAATCCATGCTTATCATGGCATAAAAATAAACTTTTACCAGGGTCAGCTAAACTCCAGCACACCGCATTTAAGACAAATTTTTTTCATTGTTTCTCCACATTATACCATGAAACATCATCCTAGTTTCTCCCGCCTTCCTTTCTCAAAGTTGAATCTGGAAGTAAATGCCTTTATGCTCCTGTAACGCTTACCAGAGTAAGAGTATCAGGAACATAAAGGCACAAATTTCCAAATTCAAAGACAGTTTCTTTCCACAGGCCGTCAGATTGTTGAACTCTGCCCCGACCACTGACTCACACTGATGATTTTTTTTTTGGCACACTGGTTGTGCTGACGTGGTTTTATGTTATTTAATTTTATTGTTGTTGCTGCTTCTTTGTATTGGAGCATACATAAAAATAAGCATTTCATGGAACTACTGCATATGACAAATAAACTGAACTGATAAATTAGCCAGGAAAAATGGACCCATTATCCCTGCAGGGCTTAGCAGCAGGGTTTAACTAAGCCAAGGGAGGTGGGCTGGGTGTACTTTCCCAGAGTGCACCTCTTTGAGAGATCTGCCATCTTCCTTTCCGGAGGGCTTAAAGGAGAGTTTGATTTGACTAGATAGAGTGGCCTTCACTTCCAACCCTGCCCGTACATAATTAACATAGGCCCTAGCACTTCTGGTCACAGTAGACTCCAGCATCCAGCAGCCATATCACCCTGCAACTCACAAATGGTAACCCACCGAAGCTAAGCAGGTGTGACTCTCTGTGGTCATTATAAAATCCCAGGGCATTTCTCAAAAAGAGTAGGGGTGTAACCCCGGTGTCCTGGCCAAATTTCCCCTTGGCCTTACCAATCATGGCCTCCTAATAATCCCTATCTATGAATTGGTTTCATTACTCTGCTCTCCTCCCCACTAATAGCTGATGTGTGGTGAGCGTTCTGGCGCACTATGGCTGCCGTCGCATCATCCAGGTGGGGCTGCAAACTGGTGGTGGTGGAGGGGAGTCCCCATTACCTGTAAAGCGCTTTGAGTGGAGTGTCCAGAAAAGCGCTATATAAGTGTAAGCAGTTATTAATTATTATTATTATTAGACTAAATGATAAATCAAATAACACTTTACGCTTATAAAATTCCAATGGTTTGGCTTTAAAATAAAACACAAATGCCATTTTTGAGTAGGATTTTATTTTATTCTCCAATATACCTGCATTGGAAGATAAGGTGACAAAAAAGGCACAAATTCACAGTAATAGAAAACAGAAAATCTAAGAAACCATACAAAGTTAAGCCCAGTGTGGACAGGCCTCTTGAACCATTCTCACTCGCATCAGTCACAGTCCACTAACCTGCAATCCATCCAGCTGTCTGATCGGAGTCTCCGTTACTGAGTAGCTGCCAGAGTGTGTGGACATTAGGGGCCAGCAGGCGATACAGACAGTTCTGAAGCTCTTGGCAAACTTCATTGCTTCTAATGTTTCAGACCTCTTTCATACACACAGAACATGGTGGTGACCTCACATGAAATATGCTCCAGTCAGAATGGTTCCAGAGTCCTACAAGGTGCAGACATTTGTAACAAATGTACCTGCACTGCTCTGCCCAGAAATGAGCTGATCTCTAGAAAGAGCTGTTAGTCTGATCGCACACAGATTTGTATAGAGAGGTCAAGAGTAGATATACTAACCACACAAGTGGTCCTTTAATCCAGTTTCACAGCATACCCAGGAGTGGATAATTCAAGGTTACTAAAGTTGCCACATTTAATTACCATATAATAAACTATATGAGTTAAGTTCATCTGGACATCATGTATATTCATATGAACACGGTTATTGTTTTGCAGGAAAGCATTATTGCAAAGTTTAGCAAAATCCGCTCAATGGTATTCGAAAGAAGAGCATGATGATATTGCAAGAAGACAACTCAGATTACACCTGTCTCCCCACAGTTCATTACTGACCAAACCATTTGACATGCTGTTCAATCATCTACCTATCACACGCTGTTCTCACATTTGCTTAATGAAGGAAAATCAAAAGGCCCTTTTCAAAGGTTTTTTTTTCCTGCTCTCTCGAGCTGCCTGGGCAGCAAAGACAGATCTGAGTCTGTACATTTGTAAGGTTTTTAAGCCCTGTTCAAAAGGTTCAAATTGACCATGAGCCCATGGAATCACCAGTCAGCTCACCTCCCTGATCCTAGCAAGAATGGGGAGAAAGCCCAGTTTACAAATCACCAGAGTGAGGTCTTTCTCAAAGACCTGACTGTTTCCTTTGACACGTTCTGCCTTGATTTGGTCTTGGCTTCTCCACAGAATCACAAGATACCACCTTCATGCCTTAATAACTGCTGTACAGTTCAGTTGCCTTTCTGGAACACCATCTTAAGGAGAGCTACACCCCTACCATGAATAAGGTTCTGAGAGAAAGCTGTCCCTTTCCCCAGTGAAGAGACACTGCAGTTTTCACTCTCCTCTGGTGGGATGGAAGCCATACGTTCCCACCGTGTAAACACTTTTATTATTTTACAGTGATCCTGTTTTACCCTGTTTAGATGGTTATTCTCCATTGCAAATGAACAAGTCCCATCACATTAACACTTTTCACCTACAGGGCAACATTGGTCCCACTCTAAAATGCTTCCTGACGTTACTTCCTCTGCAACTCCACTAGCTGACGGAAGGAGATGCAAAAGCAGTGTCACAGTCATCACATGCAGAGCAAGACAACTAAACAAATCTAGACAGAACCTCTAGATTCAATCTAATAAGACGAGCACACAAGGTGGGCCTGATCCCTAGGACCAACCGATCTTTAGGGCAGGACAAATTTATATTCACAATCCACAGAGAACAACTTTCAGGCTCATGGTGCACCTTAAGAGCAAGCAGCCGTGATGAAATGTGAATATTAATTAGTCCTAGTTGTTGAACACTAGAAAGCAGAACCATCTGAACAACACTCCTAACTCTGCGTGGTACATATAAGTTAAAATCTACTATTTTATATACCCATGAAATACATATTCTTCATATGCAATATACAATACATTTGCATTTTTGTAGGCTTTTTAGAACTAGACATTCTACTGCCATTTACAATGTTTTAGTTCAGGTTATTTGCTCAATGTGTAGTTTGAGGAGGTTCCCAAAGAAATTGGAAAAACACTCCGAAGGAGGTTGTACAGGAATGGGATATCCACAGGGTCTGTGGCCACTGGGATATCGTGTGGGTATAAACTCTAGAAATATCATCTTGTTACTGAGTTCCCACATCACATTACTCCTAACACTTCTTTACTCACTCAGCAGAACCTTATACATTCTTTTTTTGTTTTTTTTTCCAAGCTTTTCAACTCATGCTCAGACCTGACTCCGCAAACTTGAATAATCCCGCGGCTCCTGTACCTCCAAGCATGCTGGATACCCAGAACAGGGACGCAGGATTGTACTTCAGGGTAACTATTGCCTCAGACTGGTATGTGACTGTTGAGATTGAGATGGAGATTAATTGTCTGAGAAATCAAAGCGAGGACTTGGTTTAAGAAGAATTATTGCTCAGACAGGCGTCCGCGAATGTCCGCCTCACTCCTTTTTCACACGGAGAGGAACCACCCAAGACAGCACCGAAACGAAATTGATTAAGCTGTTGTTAAAACACAACCTGTAGTTTTACAGTAAAGTCATTGGTGCACTGCAGAGCAGCACTTGACAAGCCTGAAACCATTTACTTTTACAGTAATAACATGTTTTTGCAAAGCCAAAGGAATAGTAAAGGAGGAGATGCTGCTATCTCACAAAGCGTCGTTCCTTCTCTCCAGAGAGGTGTCAAGTGGGAGAGCAGAAATCTAGTGGGCAGCTAGACATGAGCAGGGAGAGTCCCCTCAACAGGACATGGCATGTAAGTACAGCTCCAGAGAGGGTTAAGAGCTTTGCCAACCCATTCCAGTGCACCATGCTTCCAGCACGATTGCCCTGAGGGGAGACAAAGACCCCGTGATCCTCTTGCTCTGGAACGGAGATCTGAGGGCTGTTCTGGCCAGTAAGATAATAGATGTGTGTCTCCTGCTCCTCAATCCAACTGTGAACTCTCACTGAAACAGTCTACCCACTTGACTCGAAGAGCCTTTTCAGGAATTCAAGAACGTCTTTTAGATTAAACAGACAAAAATCTGATCCCGTTTTTATTTTTATTAATAGTTGAATATTGAAAATGATTTTTTAGAGTAAAAGCTTTGCACAAACATCACAAACACCTTGCTGGTGCTCCTCTCTCCCATCTTTGCAGGCTGGAAAGAAGAGGTTCCTCTGTGTTCAAGCGGATGTAGTGTTCTGACTGAAATCACAGTGTCAGAAATAGAATCAAAGTGAATTTGTAACTAATGCCAAAAATCCTGCCCTTATACAAGATTTAGCTCTTTCTAAGTTTAAGAAACACGTGATATTCAAGCTTAGACCATCATGTGCAGCCTCACTGCCATAACACTGTGAAACAGGCTGGGACCTGGGCACACGAGTATCCGGTAGTCAAGTAACAGATGCAGTAAGACTGCACATATCCCAGACTGGCCAAGATCCCTTCAACCATGTCTTCTGGCAAGAGGGGTTGAGGTCTGGAGGTTGTGCCGTTAGTAGAATGAACAGGGAGGCATGAGGAGTATCTGTTGAAACCTCATCAAAACCTAGCAAGTCTTTTAAGTAAAGAACAAGTGACAAAAATAACTGGACTACCACACACAAGTTACCTACAAGGGAAATGTTAATGAAAAGTCCAACAGTTCTGGAAGTTATTGCACTTATGGGACAAGGAAGGAAAAAAGAGTAAGGCAATCTGACAGACTACAACTGGCTTCAGAAATAGTAAACCTCTACCCCACATCACCGATGTCTTACATCTAAACAATTCTGAACAATAAAACATCAATTTCTGCTTCTTTGTAAATGCATTGCAATCTTGCGTTAACAAAATAAAAATGGACTTTAACCACCTTTTTCCAAGTGGAGTTAAAAATACTGCAGATCTACCCTGTTACACTGCAGTCTGATGGCTCCCACTATAGACTACCAACACCCAGAAAAGCCCTCAGCCCGTGTGCCATAGACCACTCCCACCTTTCCAGGCGATACGGAAAAACCATCACTGATGCTTTCAGGGCATTGTATCTTCAGTAGCATTCTCAGATTGTAGGATGTTTGCCATTGTTTACTGAAAACTGCAATGAGACCCTCAGAAGTTCGACTGTACTCCCCATTCAGGAGTACGGCCCATCTGAATTTATTGTAAGTCTGAGGAATACAATGTCCGAGAGCTGAATGGACTGGTAAATATATCATTTGCAGATGCCTAAGCTGTCAAAAGCAGAACATCTATAGGCTGATACCATTCCAATTCGGAGGAACAGTTTGGGGCACTGCAGATATTGGGCATATTAATTCAGTAGGTGGATTTGTAGTTCAGTAATAATGAACAATGTTTGAACAGCATTACTGTACGTGGAATGTGGCTTTGAATTTCTTTCAAAGCAGCTCCTCTGGCCAGATGTGGCTGATGGCTTATTTCAGTGGTATGAAAGCTCTGTGGTAGTTTTATTCTCTGTCCCCACAGTGTCAGAGGTGGCGAACAGGGGGTTGTTCTGAGGGTCCTCAGTGTCTGTCACCCATCCCACAAATCTGACGAGATCAATGGAATCCAACAAGGTAACCAAAGGCAAGATCAGAATATTCTGAATGCCTGTATTTACTGTGCAGACCCAACAGTGTGCTAATTGTAATGTAAACTGTTTTTTGTAACTGTAAACACTTACATAGACCACTATACACAAACACATACTGTATGGACCTATGTACTTAAATACACACAAAATCTTCAGATCCGAAACACAGACATACAAACGTGTACAGTGTACACACTCTGCACAAGGGACAGGTTCACATCTGAATCGTGCTCTCAGTGAGTCTTGTACAATTAGTGTGACAGCAACCAGATAAACACAAATGCAAAGGTTTTGCACGCGTACACTGTACACACCCACTCGCATATGTATGCGGAACCAGACAAGAAATCAGCGCAATATGTAATATAAGGTCAGATAAACAGGAACTCTACAGAAAAAATAATTTGTTTTGTTTGCTTTGGACAATAACGCAAGTGTGACTTAGTTCAGCCTTTCTGTCCGTCTGGGGCACAAACCTTTTACACTTGAAGGACTGAGTATTACAGGTGGACTGCATGGGTTTCAAATGAAAATGATGCTTTGTGTTACACATAGAGACAGATGAAATTGGGGTGTTCCTAAATCTGTCGGGCTCTGGGGTTCCCCTCGTAAAGGGGAAGGAAGAGTGAGATAATCTGGTCCTGATGCCCAGCGCCCCTGGGGAAGCCTCTGGAGCCCAGCTGCTGACATGCACAGGGCTGGGCAGACACTTCTTGTGTTGAATCCAAGTCCAGTGGGGAGACTAACCTCACTGAGACCGCGCCTCAGCCTCTGATCCCAGCTGACAGAGACTCGGGGGAGACGAAGGCTTCAACCACCATGAGTGTCAGATGTGAGCAGAGAGCCAGCTGACCACTGTGGGACGTGTGTATCTGTTCTTGTCTCATTTAAACCGAACAACAAAAACGACTAACTTACAACTCCACAATATAAGTAGTGCTTCTAGAAAAAGGAAAACAAAAAAATCAGTAAAAAAAAAATCCACAAGAAAGTCCAAAATTAAACAAATTCAGCTTGGTCCAAAAAACACAGAAGAATACAAACAATTATAACATCAAAACTGATATCTCTCTAGTAGTAATTCAATATACTGGTATATATATATATTTATTAGCAATAATTATTACATCATTAATTTCTTTAAAGATCACCTTTTTGTTTTTTCTTTCATACTGTGCTGAAATGTGGTGCATATATATTGTGTAGCCTGAACAGGTGTTTTTAAATCGATTGCTAGTTTGTCTATCAGGTCACCTCAGCCTCAGGGGCAGGTAGGGAGACAGAGCTAGGAGCTCCGGTTGGATACCCTGGGGCAGGAAAGAGAAACAGCCGGGTAGATCCAAAATTGTGCCAGTAAAAATAGGTAGGGCTGTGTCGCTGGTGTGTTGTACAGATCTGAAAAGAAAGAAGACAAGCTGCAGTCAAGAATACATAAAAGAGTTACAGAGAGTGACAGACTTCAGCTCCTACAAAGTCATACTACTGTACAACATACAACAGCCATATCAGTCTGCAACTCACAACTGGCAGTCCAGGAGGTGTGAGCCTGGTCAGTACCTGGATGGGAGTCCTCCTGGGAAAAACTAAGGCTGCTGCTGGAAGAGGTGTTAGTGGGGCCAGCAGAGGGTGCTCACCCTGTGGTCTGTGTGTGTCCTAATGCCCCAGTATAGTGACGGGGACACTATACTGTAAAAGGCGTCGTCCTTCGGATGAGACGTAAAACTGAGGTCCTGACTCTCTGTGGTCATTAAAAATGGCGTTTCTCGAAAAGAGTAGGGGTGTAACCCTGGTGTCCTGGCCAAATTTCCCATTGGCCCTTACCAATCATGGCCTCCTAATAATCCCCATCTCTGAACTGACTCACATCACTCTGCTCTCCTCCCCACTGAGAGCTGGTGTGTGGGAGAGGACTGGTGCATCATCCAGGTGGGGCTGCACACTGATGGTGGTAGAGGGGATTCCCATTACCTGTAAACCACTTTGAGTGGAGTGTCCAGAAAGCACTATATAAGTATAAGCAACTACTATTATTACTATTATTATTATTATTATTATTACTACTACTACTTTTGTATGGCATTGTTTGCAGAAAGGCAAAACATCACATCACAGGAGCAAAGCTCAGGGCCCCTGCTGCCTTCCTAGCCTCCTGATGCCCGCAGGACAGGGCGCAGAGAACAGAGAGAGGGGCAGCAGGGCTCCTGAGGCTTCACGGAATTTCTTCAAATGGGAAGAAATGAAAAAGGCAGGTTCAAGTAGGTAAGCGTGCCAGCAATGCAGAGGCTGAAAAGGAATGGGACAGGTTTATCGCATGCTGAAAGGAAAAGAAAAGGGACCCAACGCGTTTCCCTCTCTCCCTCACACCCGAAGAAGGCCCCACAGCCGAAATGTTGCGTCTCTTTTCTTTTCCTTGACAATAATAATAATCAACTTTATTTTATATAGCGCCTTTAAAGGTGGCTTCTCAAAGCGCTTTACAGAATGACAACAACAATAATTAAAAAGAATACACAAGATAAAACACAATTACAATATATAGAGGAGATCGTGGATGGTGGTACTAAGAAAAGCAGAGGGGTGAAGAATGGAACCAGTTAAGTAAAGGCTTTTCTAAAGAAGAGGGTTTTGAGCCTGGATTTGAAGGCGTTTAGAGAAGGTGATTCTCTGATATCCTTGGGGAGAGAGTTCCAGAGCTTGGGGGACAGTAAGGAGAGCAGAATTAGAAGAGCGAAGGTTGTGAGGTGGGGAGTAGGACGATAATAGTTCAGACAGGTACTGAGGTGCCAAGCCATGCAGAGCCTTAAAGTCAACACGGACAATGAGAAAGGAGACAGATGAGGGCCCGGGGGGGGAGAACGGAAAGCGGTACTCACCAGTCTCCATCTGTGCTCTCAGTCTTCTGTAGCCGTCATGCCCTTTACCGGGTCCCGTACTCGCATCTGCAGACAACAGGACAGAGCTCGCATCACCGAGAGCCACCGCGACCCGCCACACGCCGCGCCACACTGCACTCGGGCCGACTGACCTCGTCCAGCTCTCTCTTGGTCTCCTCCTCCATGCGGCGGATGTCATCCATGGTGAGCTCAATCCACCTGTCGATCCAGCAGAACAGCTGCCGGTGGAAATTCGTAAAGAGACGCTTCTCTTGCTGGCAAACACACAAAACGAAACAACCGTATCAAAACGTAAGCTCTTCTCACATTTGGAAACTGGTTTTGTTCTCATGAGCACCTTCCCTGGAGCCTGACTGCGGGCCCAGGCCAGTGATCTCCAGCTCTTACAGTCCTGCCATGCTGCAGGCTTCGCTTACATAATACAGAACGAGTTTACTCGTTCACCACTAGGGGGCAGCAAACGCTTTCAATTCCGCACAGGATTAAAATCCGAGGTATTTCATCAGAAAAGGTTAAAAACTGAAATACAATAGTGTTCTTGTCTGGTGTCCTTCATGCCTGGGGATCCCAGAAAAAAAGCAGTGCAAACAGGTCTAGTTACAAGCTGTTACACAAAAAAAAAGTTTTAAACAATTTTAAACGGCATTAGAAAGTTTAATACCGATTGGGAGGTAGTTCTGGACATAAGGGTTATAACAGCTATGAGTTCAGTTTTCAGCCAACTGAAGGCAGGGTCATCTTCTAGTATAACCGCTAAATCTACTCTAAGTAAGTAAGCAGGTACAGCCTGAAAATAGGTCTTCCTGATTGGTGGTTTTCAATAACCCTGTCCCATTTTTTACTCTGAAAGTCCCCCATCTTCATGATGTAGATTTTGTTGGCAGCTGTACTAATCAACTGTGGGACCTCCCAGAGAAAGGTATATTTATCCTGAACTCATGTGAAACACCCTAATTGCATACAGTTGGACTTCATTCAACAAATTCTGTGACTTCTAAAGACATTTGGTTGCACCAGAGCCTATTTAGGTGTGCCTTGGTAAAAGGGGTGAATACTTCCATAATCACTTATTTTCTGTTTTATACTTAGAATTAATTTTCACTTTGACATTACAGAGTGCCGATGAATGGAAACACATCCCAAATAAACACATGGCGATTCTATAACCGTTAAATGTGGGAAGAGTCCAAGGGGGTCACGGGATAAATCAGTTGCACTTCTCCTAGGAGAGGTCCGTGCCAGACTGGAGCAGCCCTGTGATCGCTCCCTCACCTTCTGGATGAAGTTCTCGACTTTGTTCTGCAGGCCCCACCACTTGAACTTCACCGTCACCAGCTTGTAGGCACACATGTGCGGGCAGTCTGTCTTCTGAGGCAGCTCTTTCTGCAACGAGGGCAAGGAGACGGAGGCTGAGCGCAGACCCGCAACCACAGGCCGGGGGGGAGAGAGGCGTCTCAGGCTGGGGAGGCACTGCGAGCGCAGAGCTGGAGGCTGTGACGAAGGGGGAGCGCAGCCACTCACTCCTCGGGCTGCCCCGGGCAGGAGCGGCTCAGAGTCCCGTCTCGGCGTGCAGCGCCAGCCCCACGGCCTGCTGGGAGCTCTCGGTAAGGCCCTGGCTCTGATCGCTCCTGGCCCAGAACACACTGTACCTTCCAATTGGGTCCCAGCGGCCCACGGCCCGTCTTCACCGATTTGAACTTGGCGGGGTCCTCATCTGGTTTGTAATCCTGAGGGTCAGAGGGAGAGCAGGGTGACTTCAGCATTTGGCACACAAGACGGCCACACTGCCAGCAAGGCCCCAGGTAATAATAATAATAATTGCTTACACTTATATAGGGCTTTTCTGGACACTCCACTCAAAGCGCTGTTACAGGTAGAGGTAATAACTTTTTTTTTCTAATAATTTCTTTTGAGTAGAGAAACAACAGATCCTGGGATAACCTACAGTTGACTTCACAGGCATTCTAAAGCTAACAATAATGATAGCTTGTATCGACTGGGATCCACACTGACCTTTGCGTTAACCTGGTTGCGGTCGGCGATGTCAATGTGCACAACCTCCACGTTCTTCCAGGTGTCCGGGTCCAGCCCATGTACCTGCCCACATCAGAGTTCATGGTTATGTGTACCGAGGACATTGAAATGCTTCCTTGAGTGTTTTCCTCACATGACCAATGACATAACAGATGACATAACATTGACTTAGTTAATGACATCACAATTCTTGGAGACAAGGCCAGGGTAGCAGCTATAATGTTAACCAGCATCTAGATAGCAGTTGTGTATGAAGTTCAGCAGTGGCAGTATTTTCAGAGCAGTGCAAAATTCAAGTGGTGGCAGTTTTTTTAGTTCAGTGCAAAACAGAGGGGTGTAAGTAGGGGAGGAGATCAGGGATGGGCAGGTGACCTTAGTGCCGTCAGCGGGCTCTGGGCTCTGGGCTCTGGGCTCTGGGCTCTGGGCTCTGGGCTCTGGGCTCTGGGCTCTGGGCTCTGGGCTCCTGGATTCTGGATTCTGGATTCTGGGCTCCTGGATTCTGGGCTCTGGGCTCTGGGCTCTGGGCTCTGGGCATGCAGGTACCAGCAGGGGCAAACGGAGAGAAACCTGTGTCTTCACTTACATTCTCCTGAGTGCCATTGTCAGGTTTGTGCCAGGTCTCGATTTTGATGAGGAAGTTGTCCTTCATGTACTCGTTCTGTGAAGAGAGGTAAAAGAAAGATTTGCAAATGTTGTGGCAGCTAAAGAGTGAAGTGGGAGAGCTATAATCACAATCTATGCATAATTTAGGCAAACTACTTCAGTTTTTTCACTCCAATGCACCGACTCAAACTAATAGTGCAGTTCTAAAGCACACCAGCAGAGGGAGACCTGATCCATTTGTCAGGTTTTTTTCCCACATTTAATTTCCTATGTACTGTACATCCAGCATGACAGCAGCAGACTTCTCAAAGAGCAGGGGTTTGCACAATTCATGTGCAGTGGGAAGACTGGAAGTTGGAGGTGTTAAGATATGAGGAAGGTTGAGATTTCTCCTGACAAGAGGGGCGATATCATGGGAAGTTTTTTTTTTCCTCCAATTGCTGGATGTGTGGGGGAGGTGTAGTCTGCCTGTTAATCCTGATCTGATATAAGGTTGAATGAAGTCGGGTGACACAAATGCCCCACTACCACATTCAAGCCTTGCAAAATGTTCTCAAACCACTTTCTGATTTATGTTCTTCTCTGATCACCAGATCAGAGATGACCCTCTAATTTACCTGCCCATGTTGGGCTAGGCATCAGAAGGTTGTTTTTTCCCCAGCAGGGTCACCCAGGATTTGGACCTGCCTGTGAATCAATTGCCGACAGAGACCCCCGGCTCTGCTGACTGCACCAGTCTGTCCCAGGACTCTTGTTCAGAGCAACATGGCTGCTCCCCTTCCCCTGCAGGGATGTGGTTACCTTCTCCTATTACCACTGCTCTGCCCTACAGCCTGACTGGCTCCATACACCCTGGAGCTGCAGTCTGGGAGAGCTGCTACACTGAACTCGCCTACCTGTGCTAAAGGCATCATATTGACATATTGTCAAAATGAAGTCAGTACTCCAGAATTACAGAGGTTAATCAGGCCCAGCTTGAACTAATAAACACAGCCTTCCTTCAAATGAAATGTTTATTTTTCAAATACAAATCCTCGAGGAATGCATTTAAGTGCCACTCGAGGCCTCCTTTGTATGTAGACAGCAGCTTGACAGATGTCCCAGGGCTCACTGACACCCAGACAGCCCACAATCCTGGGCAGAGCCCATTGCAGCCTCACAATCACACCGGGCCTTCATTCCTGACTAGCTGGGAAACAAGCTCTTCTCCTCTTAGAAACTGTGGTTCGCTGGAAGTGCCAGTGCTACAGCTCCTGCACCAGAGTCCTGATGGACCCGATAGAGTCATCTCATTTGTAACCGTTTGTTTGCAGGGGTGACCACATTGCATGAACACAAAATTCACCAGCTGCTGAGACTTCATCCCAGTTTGCTCACTTGAAAACCCAAAAGGTAATAATGTCCTGGAAAGATAATCCAGATTAAATCTAGCAGGTGGTACTGATTTACATGCTGACGCAGCCATTACATTTAACACAGCTGAAAAAAGATAGATCAGACGATGTGTCTTATCTTTCATTGTCACTGCTGGTCAGAAAAACCACAGCGTCTCGCTCTCTGCAGTCCACAGTGAATGACTACCAACACAGCAGGTTGCCCGGGTCTCTGCTGCACATATTCAGGCCCACCCAATCCCTGCATTGTCCCACCGGCTGGACTGGGACCACCACTGTGTGGACTGCAGAGCTCAGCTTGTGCTCTGAGCCTTTACAAGCATCACAGGAGCCCCCAAACACTGCAAAACCCCAAATGCAAATACAGCTGCCGTAGAGCAATACTTACAGTAATGACTGCCCGGGGAGAGGAGACACATGGAAGAGAAAAACAGATAAAAAGGTGATTAGAACAGGTCAATGCAAATCAACTGCTGCTCTGAGCTTCACTGCACCACATCTCCCTGCAGACATGAGAGCCACCATGAACTTGTGCTGTGCTGAGGTACGACACAGTAAGGGACATGCTGCACAGCACAATCTACTGGGGAAAGAGCCTGTTCCAGCTCATCTCTGACGGGGCAAAGTGCCCTGTAGCCTAGAAAGATGTGGTGCATTTGTTTTTCAAAGTTAACAGCTGGATGGCAGAAGTGTGTCTTCTGAAAGAGACTGTAAAAGTCAAAAAGCGAAAATCGAGAGAACAACATCCAGTGTGGTGAAAAGCAGTTTTTCCATCACTTCTTGTGAGAAATAACTAGAGCCCATCTGAAGAGGAACAAACTGCTGGCTGCAGGAAAAGGCTTCAAAGTCGTCTTGCTGTCAGAAAGGGGTCAGTGCAGCATGAGGCTGTAACTCAAACCAAGCAAGTGGGCTGAATAATTCAGCAGAGCAGCTGGCTGCTCAGGGCAGGGGGGATAGAGTGACCAGGCCACAACACAGGACAGGCACAGCCAGGACAGGACTTTCTAACTAACATTAAACCCCTGCAAAACACATCTGCACTGTCATGACAGAAATGGGGCTGCAAAAAAGCTGTATTCTTATGATACTAGAAAAGAAACAACGTTTTGGCTGTGGAGCCTGGCTGCACAGCTGAAACGTTGTGCGTCTTTTCTTCTCTTTTCACCATGGAATCAACTTGCTCCTTTGCAGCCTACGCATGCTGATGCAGCTACCTACATGAACCATGAACGTCTTATGATACTGCCCTGTTATTTATTGGACCAAAATATTTTCATGTGTTCAAATAATCAGCTATTAAGATTCTGTCACGATTCCTCATATTGTGTAAAGTTACTCTAACACTTCTTAAAGCTGATTTAGGATTAGTGGAGGAGACGTTATTATTAATTAACATTCACTGCAGTTTTAAGACCTAGAGCAAAATCCAAGGTGTGCAAACTGACCAAAGTAAAAACTGGACTTGGGCATGGGACCTGTCAATGGTCATCCTGGCCAGCACCACCTGTCCAACACTGAAGCAATGCTGTAAGACAGAGGCTGGGCAAGCCAAGCCCAGGATTCCACTGGGATCACCTGGGACGAGCTGGTCTGTCTCAGTTCCTGCAATTCCTGCAGCATTTATGGGCATCTCAGCAAGGCGTCACGAAAGGTCAGTTTTAAAGTAATAAAGGCAGAAGGGAGCTGTGAAAACTTAAATCTATTTCCTTTTATCTGCAGGGATTTGGGTCTTAAACCTGTCCGCTTGCTGGGTACCTGTCAAAACAGCATGTGTAGTTCATACATACTGTACTAGTGTGTGTACACAAATAACCTTTGCAGAGAAAGAAAAAACCCTGAGTAACATAGAGAGGCTGAGCATTTTTTCCCTGCACTGCTATTGCATCCTCCATGAACTCTTCCTGGCCTGGATTGCGGCTCACTGCATGCAGCAGAGCGCTCATCTGAGGATCAGCTCCCTTCTCCTACAAACTCGTATTCTTTCCCAGCCTCATCAAATGCCTGGATTCAGCCTGGCAGGTGCAGTCACACTGTATCCCATCACTCTGAGTGTCAGACAAGGTCCCCAGGCAGGAAGTCATATCAACAGGCCAGAGCACTAACGTGGGTTACTGGTGTCTGCAGCAAGCTACCTGAAACTGTGGCTTCAAGAAGGATGAACCAGCAATGAAGCCAGCAATAGCATCTCCTTCTCTTATGTGTAGTCTCTCTATGGTGTTTATGATCCCATACTCTTAAATCCGTCAAACGAAATCATTCATAGATTAAAACTGACCTTTGAAAACAGTCAGCTCTCTATCTAAGGATATATTCCATTTCTTAATTTAGGACATTACTGGTTCTCACTTTAAACTGCTTTGGTGCAGCCAGAGACAGGTAGCGTGACATAGTGCACAGCATCACAGAAATGACACACAGATCATGTCTGTGTCGGTGCTCCTCCAGCTCCCATCTCCTTAATCTCATCCTACTCCTCAAGCTTCATGAACAACTGATCTGTAATTTACAAGGCAAGACCCAGAATGCACGCCCTATTCACAGGTCTTCTGTTGGGGACTTAGCTTTTAATTTTGCATTATTTACAGTGTTCCTCAAGACCGCATCTTCCATGCAAATCAAGAACTGTCCGTACAAGTAGCCATTTCTAAGATGCTGAAATAATACATTGTCAGCTCCATACTTTGTCACCTCATAAATTATCATCAGTCAGCAAAACAAAACTACCAAATAAAACTTTCAGGTGGTTTTTCTCCCAGTGCAAGAACCATTTTGTCAGTCACCTGTGGGAGAAACAGCTCTCCTTCAGGCACATGAGGTATCCAATCAGACACAGATATCCTAGTTAGACTGAGCCCTCCCAACTCTGGACTGACCAGTTAAAAAACGGACACATCAGTGATTGAAAGAGAACAAAAGCTCATTCCTGTGAAACTAATGACTCGTTTGGAAAAACAAGCTGTATAAAAGACTACACAAATTAATTTAAAAAATGGTCAACACATGTTCTTAAATACCAAATGGGCTAGAACAGTCGATGGCTTTGTTTTGATTGCTTTATATGTTTTTATTGCTTTCTACATAAGACCTTTCTTATGTAATCGTAGACAGATTTCCAAGATTTAATTTTTGAAGGGGAATGTTCCATTTATGAAATAAAATGTATTTGTTCATTAATTGATGGATGGGCATGAATTGACAAGTTCATTCAAGATTGTCCTTTCTGATGTCCTGTACATGTTTCCACTGTGTAGTTGCTTTTCACAGATGTCCATGCTCAAGAGGTAAAAAGAGTATGAGACCGCTTAATGAAATAATAATGAATTTATTATTTAATTAACCTCTTGTAATTCCATTCGGACTCCTAGGTGGAGAGGTAGCTATCGAAGTGAATATTTTGAATTATCAACTATACAGTAAAAGACCTAAAGAAGAACCCTGTATGGGTCTAACACAAATAATAGCTAGGTAACTGGCTTCCCAGATTACTATAAAAGGCAGGAATGGAGACTCACCAGTGCGGCAGTAGGGATAGGCATTCCAGGCTTTCTCATGGATGTTGAGTGCAGAATCCGGGGCCAGCATCCTTACAAATTTGGGGACTTTACTAAGGACAAAGAGAGAGACACTGTCAAACTCTTCAAAGATAAGGGATCTGCAAGCCCACGGCAGCCAATTCATCTCTAAATTGCTCGTCCATGGTCTCCAGATCTCACCGCCAGACCTGCACAGGGAACAGCTGCTCAGACCATCCTGAATCAACAGCTGCCCTGCTGTATGGTGATCATCTGCGGTTTCACTGCTCCTCGAGATGGGCGGTCACCAGCCCTTTCACCAGCCATACAACCAAAAAGCTTTGATTAGAAAATAGTCAGATGAATGATACAAAAGCAGAAAATAATTCAGAAAATGGCACAGGATACTAAGACGCTA